TGTGAGAATATGAATTGCCCCCATATTTCTACCATATATTTTAAAAAATAAATAAATCCTTGGGGCCTAGAAGACTCTAAGAAGAAAGGGTAAATTTCTATTGTCTCACAAATTCCTAGAAGTTCCAATATGTTTTGTGGATGTGTAGGGGTTAGAGAAAAATGACTCTATTTCTAATAAGTTAGATATATACCTTCCCCCTATAGACTAACAACTATGGAATAAAATGTTAAGAGGTGCCTAAAATATACACTCCCCCCCACACCCTCAGGGTTGACTGGACTAGGAATCCTGCAGCTTTAATGTCTGTACTAGGAGATGAACTCAATCATTCCAGCTTGTTTTGCTACAGTTAACTCTGTGGAAGAAAGAGACTATGGAGAATTTGAAATTAGGCTTATTTTCAAAATCATTTTCCTAGACAATTTTTGACCAATATTAAGTGACATTTCACAAAAAATATTTCAGTAATTTAACTATAAATATGATTTTCAATATATATACAGTATTACAATATCTTACATCAACATTATATTTTTGTTGCAGAAAAAAGATTAGAAATAATGGTCAAAAATGCCATTAAATCTCTAAAACTAGAAACGTTATGAAAATTTGAGAGAACACTACATAAATTGTGTGATCAGTTATACATTCTTATAAACCAATCAGCAGAGTGTTTTAAACTTAGAGCAAAAATAATGAAAAACTAAAGATAAACTGTCTATTGACCTAAAAATTGAAGATAAGGAAGCAGTGCTTAAAAAACCAACCTCGGTCTTATCTGAATGAAATCCTGCTGTGAAATCAGGGGACTGTAAATCTCTAGGACTACCCACTCCCGCATAGCTTCCTTCAGAGTCTGATGTCAATAGTTCTGGAAGAGATTCCACAGAATTGGTCTTACCAGACTTTAATAATCCTAAAACATGAAAAAAATATATTTAAACACATACGCGTTAAACATATATGCATTATATTCTATGAACCAAATAGCTAAATGCTTTGATTTATCCAGATTTAATACTATTTAAATTGTATTTGCTGCAACAAAATCTTAATAATTCAAGCTAACTGAAAAAAGAAAATAGTTTAAACTGAAAAACTGAAATGAAGGAGATTCTAAATTATTTTTATTCATTACAATTACATGCCAATTGCACAATGAACCTGAGGAATACAGTTCTTTGGGATCTGCTTTAAGAAGTGATTGAGAACTTTTTTCCCTCCATAAAAGATAAAGAAGACAAAGTTAATAAACCCCAGACCTCCTCCCCACAACCCTTTCTGTTTCTAACTTGTCTTCTTGCACAAAAGTCTCTGTACCCACACAAAGGAGACAGGCTCCATTCTGTGTGGGAGGAACCACTGTGGCCTTATTGTCTCTTATTTAGCCAGCATACTGGCCCAGTAGCAAACGATCCTGCAGAAGCCAATTGTAGCCTGTTTCAGAGTTTGTTCTTCTGCAAAAAAATCTCTGGCGATTCAGAGCTATTTTAATTAACGTATCACTTGAAGCAAGAGGGTTGTTAGCAAATTTATATACCATTTCTTCTGTTAGGCAAGCTAAATGCCTGACTCCATGCCATACCTGGTATCCAAGTTCACTAGCATAGAAGAATCATTTCAAACACAGAGTACAAAGTAAACTTCTGATAAGTTTCAAGGGAGGGAGGGAGGAATGAAAGGAAGGAGGAAAGAGAGAAAGAAAAAAGACTACAATAATAATTGAACTTTCAGAAGGAGAGAACAAATCCATGGTTACTAAAGATGGGAAAAGGAGAGGCAGAGAGGGGTTAGGGAGAAATTGGGTAAGGGACACAAAGAATAATTACAATTTGTAATAATGAATATGCTAATAATATTGATTTGACCATTATATATTGTACACAAATTATGATAGTCAACATTGTACCCCCAAATATGTATAATCAATTATGTTTCAATAAATAAATAAAGTAAATGATCTTGACAAGCTATATGCTTCTTTTGCTGTTATCACTGTTAAAATAGTTCGGAATTAATATTCAAAAATTTTTCTCCCATATCTTTTGTATATTTTTAAGACTGGCAAATTTCCATCTCAGAGAGCATTTTTAATACTGGAACATTCATAAAACTCAATTAGAAATAAGTCTAGAAAATAAAGAGGATGATTAAAGCAGCCTACAATTAGTTTTGGTCAAAAACAGTTTCACAGAATGTCATTTGTCTTAACTTTAAGAATCAACACAAATGTTAAGCCTTCACTCAACTGTCTTTGATGAAATTTGTCTCATACTCAACTTTTCCTCCATAATAGGTCTTTTTGGCCCCCAGTTAAATTTAATCTTTTAACCATTATCTACTTTGACCACAGAAAGAACAGTATACCAAGAAGAACACGGAACTGGAATCAAGAAAGTAAATTCTATTTCTTTTTGTCACTACCTCAGATCACTAATGTTTTCTGAGCTCGTTTCCTCAGGTTTAATGTATGGGACAAATTACTTCAGTTCTGAAATGCTAAGATTCTTTTTTTTTTTTTTTTTTTTTTTTTCCTTTTTCTTGCCAAATGGTCAACTCACTACAGGGGGATTATGTAGATCTTGGGATATTCTGTTAGAGGACCTCAAATGTCATTCACTACAGGTTGTATCTGTTGAAATAGTCAGGTATTCTAGAGAGGAAGTCACTTATATCAACCATCAACCATATAAGTCACTTATATGGAGTTGATTGAATATGAAATTACTGTTAATAGAAATCGCACAGGTTATGTCTTACCATTATAGATAAAATACATCCACCATTTCTGAAAGCTACTGCTGTATGTAGTCTTATTATTTTAGTCACACTTCATGCTTTATCTAAAGTAACTGTCAAAAATTGATAAGGTTTAATCTAGATCAGATGAATCTAGAATGTGGGATAGTCTATAACACAACTAGCCTGAACTTCGGAAAAAACAATACAAAAAAAAGGTGTGGAGGGTACTGTTCTAGTTAAAAGAGACTAAAGAGGTATTAATACGCAAAGTCAGTGTGATACTAGATTTTTTTTTTTTAAGGTTAAAACGAAACAGGCTAAGACAATGTTAATTGTCTTAGGTATGATAATGGTATTGTGGTTGTACAGAAGAATATTCTTATTCTTCGGAGATTCATTCATTCATGCTATTGTGGTTGTACAGAAGAATATCGTTACTTTTAGGAGAATATTCTTATTCTTAGGATATTCACAACTTATTCCAAGGGGATCAGTAAAAAAAAAAAAAAAAGGTCTCTCTAATTAATACACACATACACGCACACATATATGTGTGTGTGTAGAATGCTTGGAGGGTGAGGGGAGGCAGCAAGCAAGAGATCATGCAAGAAAAAGCAAATGTGGTAAAAGGAATAAATCTGAATAAAGAATAGACAAGTATTCATGGTATTTTTCTTTCATCTTTTCAGTAAGTTAACGATTTTCAAAGTAAAAACAGGAAAATAATTTTAGAAAAACTACATAACCTTTACTTTCAAACAGGCTCACACAAAAGCCTAGATATAAATAAAGTGTGTTATAATCTACTACTAGATTATAATCTGCTTCTAGGCATGAATGGCATCTTGCTTGGGGCACTGACATATTTGAATTAAATTGACATAACAATAGTATCTCTCATGTTTGCCAACATCTAACTCACTATGCCATTGGACAGTGGTTTGGCTTACAGTTTTTCAACTTTATGGTGAGTTTATCAGAGTATTAAATGCATTTTCAACCTACAATATTTTTGACTTATGATGGGTTTATTGGCATTTAGCTCTGTAAGTTGATGAGCATCTGTATATACTATGTTTTTTTGATCTGATAAGCAAGATGGCTGCTATGTGACACATGGGCAGGTAGCGTATACAGGGTGGACATGCTGAAGGAAAGGGATGACTAACATCCCAGACAGGACAGAGCTGGAAGTGCAAGATTTCATCAACCTACTCAGAATGGCATGTAATTTAAAACTTATAAATCATTTATTTATGAAATTTTCCATTTAATATTTTGAACTGCAGTTGACCACAGGTAACTAAAACTGCAGAAGGCAAAACTGCAAATAAGGGGGTACTACAGTATATGCACAGGAAATGGGTTCTTTCTTTTGCCTCGGGCTTGGGAACATATTGCCCCCTTTTGCTTACTATGTTCATCTGCCTCCTTTTTTTTGACTAACTTCACTTAATTCTTCAAGATCCAGCTCGGCATCACTTTCCTTTAAGAGATGTTCCCCAATCTTCTCAGACCAGCTGAAGTACCTCTTTTGTGCTCTCAAAGCAAATTTCAATGGGAGTACTTATCACAATAAACTACCATTTTCTGCAGCCTCCATAAGAACTATTTTTTATTTCAGTAGCCCCAGCAGATGGCATATATTATTATGTAATGCATGTTAAATGAATTAGATAATGAACAGAGACATCAAAGATTAGAACTGGAAATATATGCTAACACATTTTTCACTAACCTGTAGATGGTGGACTCTGAATAATATCTGAAAGGTTATAACCTCCAGAACTATCTGAACGCTTACGTGGCTTCCTTTTAGCTTTTGTTTTTGCTTTCTTGAACATAGTTTCCCTAGGAAAAAGCAAACATAAAAAATCATTTTTAAAATGAATTGAGTTAGAGATGAAACAGCAGAAGAACTATGCATTTTAATCACAGCATTTTTGTCAAATAGAAACTATGTAAAGTATATACCCTCTATTCACGTTTATCTCTGTGGTCCTGAGCAAATTACTTAATTTCACTGGATCTCAGTGTGATACTATTACTTGTTCTTACCCTAACATTTCTGTGAAAGTTAGAAACAAAATGGTATAGAGGAAAATACTTTGAAAAGTAAAATACTGTACATATATACACAAACTGTTACAAACTATAATCTTGAACTACAAATATTTGGTGGTAATTTTTTAAAGCATTTCTAAGAATGCTTAATGCCCTGAATTAAGTACTATTAAGCAGGAAAAAGAAAATAAAATCTCTGAGGGCCACAACTGTCTTACCTAAAAATTACAGACCTCATAATATATTTTATCCAGTTACATAAGTCAGCTGTGAATACCATTGTTTTGTAGAAGACAACATGAGTCATTTATATCAATGTTAATTTTATTATAATTTTAAACATAATAGCATGTCATACACCTAAGTCAGATATCCATAAATTTCAAATATTGCAAATACTATCTAACACTACAAAAGGGATTTTAAAAAAAGGACATCTCTGAAATTCAAGAACAGTTTTTCAATGAGGTACACAGCTGGTTATATGTAGTAAATGAACTGAACACCCAAAGATTTCACTTTAGCAGGTCATTTACCAGGCAAGAGGAAAGGAATTCTGCAAACAGCTGATAAGTAAGCCTAAACTGCTGATTAAAAATTCTATGCAGGGCTTGCCAAATGGTCAACTCACTACAGGGGGATTATGTAGATCTTGGGATATTCTGTTAGAGGACCTCAAATGTCATTCACTACAGGTTGTATCTGTTGAAATAGTCAGGTATTCTAGAGAGGAATCCTTTGAAAATAGTACCTCATCTATGGCTGGTGCACTCCTTTCTGCAACCTCTCTTGTTCAATCTCTCCAGAGGTCAAATCTCTAGTCTTCTGCCAAAATGGAGGCAGGGCAATCACTTGGTTGGATGGGGTTCAAAAAGGGATCAGTGATCTAATGTTCCTTAATTCACCCTAGTCTTCACAAATGTGGTACCACTAATTCTTAAGCATTTCCAGAATTCTGTTTTAGCTTTTTCTGCTCTAAGTCATTACCACTTGGCACCCACTTTCTAACTTCCAAAACATCTCCTGACTGTTGTTTGCTCCTTTCCTGTTCTCTCTGCTGCAGTGCAATATGCCTTTTTTTTTAACTGCAATCATGGCAAAGTTTAGGGAGGTACTAAGATAAATACACTATTTAACCAAACATGTTTAACCTGAAGGTTACACTGTTTTTATATTTATACTTTAAATTTGTTAGACTATAAATATTAATTATGTATTTACCTGTATTATGTCAAGGCTAAAAATGAACATAAATTCATACTTCTCATGTCAGAATTGCTCAATTTTTTCTTCTGATATCAGTACAAAAGTGTCAAGTGTCCAAGACTGGGGTAGATGGGGGAGGAAACAAGGAAGGAAGGAAAGGAAGAAAAACAAAACAAAAATAGAGCTTACGAATAATTTTGTTCCATATTTGTTTCTTCTTTCAAAAAGTTATCTCCATCTTCTTTCTCCAAATAGCTAATATCTGGTCCATCTCGTAATAACTTCGTATAGCATACATTATACGAAGTTATACGAGGTACTTCAAAATGTTCATGGGAAGATTTATATTATTTTCTTAGTGCTATTTTTCTTTTTTTTTTTTTTTCCTTTTTGTTTTTTTTCATGACCGGCAACGGGATTGCAACCCTCGGTGTTGCACCCGCACCGTGCTCAGCCAGTGAGCGGACCGGTCTCTACATGGGATGAATTTATAAGAAGAGAAAAATCTGATTAGTTTACTAAAAAGTCTATTCCATAAAACTGTCCAAAAAAACTTGGAAAAAACTCCACTTTATTATTAACTACAGATTAATCCATTTCTTGGGGATCATGTGAATCCATGTTTTTGCACTGTCCTGATGCTTTCTCTGAAGCTTTCAGGAACTCTCGTTTATAAAGAATTAAAACAGATATTAATTTTATTAAGTATCTTCAATTTTGATTATCATATTTATTTGTGAGATCTGTGAAGAAATCCTATGTCCTCACTTTTAAAAGATCCTAATACATTAGAATTCATTAGGAAATTATTCCATTGAGAAGTCTGATATAATATACTGCTTTAGATGGTAACATTACAGCTGCTGAAATCTTCAAAAAAACATAAACCTTACCATTTTTCGGTAAAATACAGAAAGATCCTTCAAAACAGCATCACTTAAAACATCAAGAGACCTAAAATAGGACACAAAATTCTATCTTAAGACCTGTCAAGATTTTAAAATATGTACACACATTTCATATTGCAAAAAAACCCCCAAAGTTATTTTCTAAGCATTATATATAGTAGCTGCTACAAATTTCTTTTTGGAAATACAAGGGTTCTTCAAAACGTTTGTGGAAAAACAGAATTAAAAGATAGTAAGAATCTTTTCATGTTTTTTTTGACCGGTAAGGGGATCGCAACCCTCCGCACGGTGTGGTCTGCACCACGCTCAGCCAGTGAGCGCATTGGCCATCCCAATATAGGATCCAAACCCGCAGCCTTGGCACTACCAGCGCCGCACTCTCCCGAGTGAGCCATGGGGCCGGCCCCTTTTCATGAACTTTTTGAAGTGTCCTCACAGGTGTATTTATACATTATGTATTTTGAATAAACAGCAAACATATTAGACAAATATCTTGAATAAAACTCAATCAACTCATGAATAAGTGTACAAAGAATCTTTTCCCTAACAACGAAACAGCAAGTACTCATTTTCCAACCTTTCCACATATTATCATCTTTAACTACAGAAGGAATGCTATGTTGACATAACAATGGCTTAAGTATTGGGATACCTGGATTCTATCTAGAATTATCACTGCTACCATTTACCTCCATAACCCTGAGCAACTCACTTTACTTCTCGGGCCTTAGCATCCTCAAGTCTAAAATAAGGTTTAGATTAGATCAGTTGCATTCAAGTCAAATTTCAGAGATCTCTCAGGTTCCAAAGAGGTACTTTAAGGTACCAGTGAACATTTAAACCAAAGTTTACATTCTAAAATATATTCTAAACTATTTCTACAACTAATACAAAACAACTTGCATATTAAAACCTATATCATAACAGCGTTCGACACTTTAGTGATAACTGATGCATTATCTTGTGATGCGAAGTCAATTTTGGTGCAGCCCTCCTTTTCCTGACATCTCTGAACTTATTTATTTACACTTCTAGCAAACACATCCCTAATTAACAATGGTTAAGTTTGTACAAATCTTTGTTTTAATTCAAGTTGTGAGTATTTACTCACGTAAAATTATACAAATAAGACATCACCACAGCAGATGCTCTCCTTAATTAAATGACTCAGTTGGCACACTTGTCACAACATAATAGTTTAATGAAAGTAATGTCATACATCATGTTCTAGTATCATATCTTAGGTAAGAGTTGGTGCTTGTTTTAGTTTTTTGTTTATTCTTCTACGACAAATGGAACAAGATTATTTGGCAATGCAGGGTAATAAAATTTCTATAAATAGAACTACTAACGTAATATCAGCAATAAAATTCAATTCAGTCTGAAAATCTAACCAGTTTCTCATACTAAGTTATCAGAGGCATTTTTAAATGACACTATCTCATATCGCATAACATTAATTTGCATTTCAAAGCATTTTTCACAAAATAACAAAGACTGAAACTGCAGAAGAATTTTCTCTAAATTGAACCCTAACTGGCAATTAGTTAGAGTCAGGAAGTTATTCACTTCCAAAACATAGTAGAACACCTTATTTCAGTCACATTTTGGAATTAGTTTAACAAAGATCATCCTGACTTTGAAAGTTATTAAAAACTGTTACCATTTATAATAATTGTATGATAAAGATTTTCTCAATTCTTTGCAGGACAAAAAAAGTTTCCTGTGTATTCCCATCTGTAACATGAATATATTAACAGAATATATTTCACAAGATTTTTATGAAAATTTACTGAATTTTCTGCGTAATACTTTTAGATACTGCCTACCATGTAGTAAGCACTAAGTAGGAGTTGTAATTATTACTATTGAAACAAAATACAGAAATAAACTGGATAATATAGTCTTAAACTACAAAGTGACACCAAGAACTCTAATCTCAAATTACTTCATTCACCAAAACAGCTTCATTTTTCTCACCATTCACTTTATAGTCAGTAAATGTAATATTTTGACCTTATATTTAAAAATAAATGTATATATTTATTTCACTAAAAAAGTCACTGCTAAAAACATTTGAAATTTTTCCAAGATCCCTCTAATTATAAAATGTCTGTGATTCCTAAGTTATTAGCATTTATCAAATTTTTTTCATCCAATTAAACATCATTATTCACCTTTAAACTACTAACATATCCACTCTTACATATAAATATCTCCTTTTGCAAATTATTTAATGTATGTACCCGTCCTACCTTGCTTCAAGTAAAGCTGCCATATTCAGTCCTATAAACTGTAAACAAGACAGTTTCAACTGTTCAGCATTATACATTGCTGCAAATTCTAGTAGCATGGCAGCATTCTTAAGGGTAACTACAAAGGAAGATTTACAAAATTAGATGAAAGGCATGTTACTACAGCCAATAAAATATACTTATTTCTAAAGTTGTAACAATATTTAGAACAAGAAAAACAAAGTATTTTCTCACCAAAAATAACTTACACTGAACCAAATATGGAATTCATTTCCATCCCAATACACCAAAGTAATTTCAAAATACTGGTTATGAGAAAACATAAGCTCACATACACAGAAATTTTAAGCAAAACAAAATACAGAAAGGGCATTAGTGTCATCTAAAAGCTGTTTGCTAAGAATTGACAATCTTCCACCTAACATTTTCCGAAAAGATTTTTTAACTTTCATTGATAAACAATTTTCCTTTCCATTTATATAGTATGGAGTAGTTATTCTCTCTTCTATAAAACTAAAAAAAGATATTCTTAAGACTAAGAGAACTGATGAAATAATTGTATAAAATATATTAATGTTGAGTTACCTATCAGATTTTATGCTGGTATATTTATACATAAATATAGATGTATATTTGGAAAATAAGTACATCTAAATCTTATCGCAATATTATTCATGCCAGTGCAGATCTGATCTGATATATTGTGCAAAAGATTCTGGATTTAATTACAATCTTAGTAACTTTTTATACGAAGTGTCCTTTTTCACTAGTGACCCTACCAAAATATTCTACCTATGTTGCATGTCACGTTAGCTTCCTGACTCCTCCACTCTTTTTCTTAGTTACTCTGAGTGCCAGCCAACAGAAGAATAAAGCTATTTTCTACATCTTCTTCCATTTTTTTCTTTCTCCTGTGTTATGCTGTCAAAAGTTGCAAATGCAGTCAATAATTGCCTCTACCCCATTCCTGACTAACCTGAAGTTTCAACCAATAATGAACACAGTCTTACATCTCACAAAAATGAAAAAAAATTGGATTATATAAAGGTTTCTTTAGAATTGATGAGTTGGGATCAAGGATCTGCCCAATAATTAGACACCAAATTTTGGGAGAACCCTTCCTTTGCTAGGTTCTGGAAATATCAAAGAATTCATAAGTAAAAACAACTGTGCAGCAGGGGCCAAGAAAGAATATCTAAGGGAGGCCAGAAAAGTCAGTTGAACAAGTAAAAATATCACCTATATGTATATTTTACACATATTATATACTGTGTCCTTTATTTTAATATATTTTCCTTTTCTTGCTTAAAAAGAGATCAGGGCGCTGTTGTTCTCTTTTTGATAACCAAGGAGAAGATAGTCCACAGTGTTCAAGAAAAGTGAGGAAATAAGACACGAGAGCTAAGTAAAAATCAGACAAATTTGACGGCAAATCCCTTTACACTTCCTGAAGTAACAATGAAACAGAACAAATATAAGATTAGAAAGCCAAAAGACTTTCATGTCAAGCTAAGGAAATTTAACCCTTATTCTAGAGTATATTTAGATATATTAAAAGTATCTAAATGGAGAGAGACATAATTACTTCCTATAGAAAGATTAAAGAAAGAGAAAGAGAAGAGAGAAAAAGCATTTAGACTACTATGACACTACACAGAAGGGATAGATAACTGTTGACCTCAACTAGCATAGTGACAATGAGAATCAAAAGGTGGGTAAAATGTAACCAACACTGTTAAGATAAATCAGTTTTGGCATCTAAAAGAATTTGGGTGCAAGAAACAATGTAACCAATAAAAAATAACTTTTGATTTTAAAGTTAAGTGTTCAGGAGGACCATCAGGCAATTAACTGAAATAACGAACAGAGAAAGAAATAACAGTTTGAGAGAAAAGAGATGTGGTTTGTTCAGATATATATCAATGAGAAAGTTACATAAAAATTCCAGTGAATAGTATGAAATGGGTAGTTAAAAACAGTTATGGCCAAGACCATTTTCAAATTCTTACTCTTGAAATTCACAAATAAATTTGACACCATCTTTATTCAAAGTTTTTTGACATTTCAGTAAAAACTAATATAATTCAATTCTAAGATGAGTTATTTCACTTATTTCAGAGATAAGACTTTGCTTACAAATGATGGCACGTAATAATTTAAATGCTTTGACATTTTTCATGGTACAAAAAAATAATGTCTTATTTTACCATAAAATGGCATCATAAAGTCAATAAAATACAGTAATCCTGGATAAACCTGAAAATATACTAATATTCTAATTCAAAATTACTCACATTTTTCAGTTAGTGCTACTTCACAAATCTCTTTCAATCGAGTTATGAGAAGTTGATCAGCTACCACAAGAACACTACAAATAAAATCCACATTTTGAGATTCTAAAAAAAAGAAAACAAGCATCACTCTTCATTACTTTGTAAACACTTTACCTAGAAAAAAATCTTAAGTAATTAAGAGACTAGGAAAAATAGAATTATGATTATTTTCTAAATAGAATGGCAACTATGATAAATAGTAAATATATCAAAATATTTCTACCTTTTTTTGGTAGAAGGCTGATAAAAACACACCAAAATGCCTTGGCTCATACTAGGACCATAAAATGGCCAATTTGAGTTGATCATTTCAGTCTAGAAGGCTACTAGAATGCCTGACTTGCTTACAATTTCCCATGCTGTTAGAGAAACATTTCTGAAATGAATAGAAGGGAAAGTCAAATCTCAGCATCACACTTAAAATATATATACATGGGGGGAGAGAAATAATGCTCTTAGTCTGTCTTATTTAAAACAAAATCTGTCATATAAAAAAATTAACTATACGTAGGAGTTCCTTAATTTTAGATAACTTCTTATCCTAAGTACTATTATTAACTTTAAACAACACCCCTGAGCCACTACCAAAATAACATAAATAGAAAAAAAAAAAAAAAGGAAAAGAAGAAAGAGAGAAAAAAGGATTAAGAAGAAAAGAAAAAAATTAAAATGGTTTTAAAAAATGAGGGAAGAATGAAGTCACTGGGAAGGACAGACTAAGAACTTCTGAAAATGCTCACCTCCACAAAAACAATGTAAAGACTGCCGAATATTGTCAAAATAAATTTTTTCAGAATTCTAGAAATCAGCCAAAGCTTGCAATAAACTGAGGAGTGTTTATTTAAGAAAAGTGGCTGAATCTTGCTAAGAACAGTGAGATTTGGGATGGACACTGTAAGCTTTTCCTATTCAGATCCTCCTCTCCCCTCCTCCATAGCAGTATTGAAAACCTAAAGCTCCACAATCATAGTGAAAATGAGTAGCCTAGCAGCCACCACAGGAGACAGAACAGTTGTGGAGCAACATTATCAAAGAACTGTCATTACTTGACCTGTCTGACAGTTCCCTGGAAACTACTAGAAGGGCTTGTCTCTACTTGACCTGACTCAAAGCATGCCCAAGGAGAACAGCCTTTCCCAGGTGCATTTATTGAAAATAATCAGCAGCAATTGTTTACCATTGAGGCTGTCTGAGATGATGATAACAGTTGGAACAAACAAGCAGCAGATCAAAAAACAAAAAGAAAAGCTGGGGAATAAAATGTTGATATAGACTGAATGTTTATATTCTCCTCAAAACTCATGTTGAAGCTCTAATCTCCAGTGTGGCTGCATTTGGAGATGGGGTCTCTAAGGAAGTAATTAAGGTTTAACCAGGTCATAAGAATGGACTGTAATGTAATTAGATTAGAGACCTTAGAAGAAACACTAGAGAGCTTGCTTGCTCTCTCTCTCTACACACATGCACTGAGGAAAGGTCATGTGAGGCCATAGCAAGAAGGCACTGTGTATAAGCCTGAAGAGCACTCAACAGAAACTGACCCTGCCAGAACAGAATCTGGAACATCTAGCCTCCAGAACTGTGAAAAAATAAGTTTCAGTTGTTAAAGCCACTCAGTCTGTGGTATTTTGTTAGGGCAGCCTGAGCAGACTAACATAGATATCTAGTTCCAACATATTCCTGTAAATCTAGCCGTACATATGCAGAGGGCTATGCACATGCCCAGGAAAGACTTGAGAAGGCACTAAACTCTCATATATAGCTTATGTTGAGGCTCTACAGAACGAGGAAATAAAAGCCAAGGCAGTGTTCTAAAATGCCTTCCTGACCATTGTCAGTATGTCCTCAACACACAGAGAAAACCCACAGACAATGGTTAGAAGATTTACTGGTTCCATTCATTTATGAAAATTTCTGTCTATCAGCCCACGTCTAAACTAACCAAGCAGAGTTTTCAGTGGTCACACAACAAAGAACAGACATTTTACAGAATTAGTTCAGAAAGTCATTAAGCAAACAGCAACAACAAGAACACTCTGCAGATATGGGAGAATTTGATTTTCAGAGTTGCCACATTATTTAAATGTCCAGTTTTCAACAAAAAAAAATATGAAATAAGCAGAGATGCAACAAAAGATGCAAGTATGGCTCACACATAGAAAAAAAAGCAACCAACAGAAACTCTCCCTGAGGAAGCCAAGATGCTGGACTTACTAGACAGAGTTTAAATCAACTATTTAAAATATGTTCAAAATACTAAAGGAAACAATTTATAAAAAAACTAAAAGAAACTTTGAGGATAATGTCTCATAAAATCTAGATTATAAATGAAGGGATAGAAATTAAAGGTCAAATGAGATTATCCAATCTGAGAAACAGAAATTAAAAAAGAATGAAGAAAAATGAATACTGTGTAAGAGACATGTGGAACACCATCAAGCATACCAAAGATACACAGGGGAGTCCCTGAAGGAGAAAAGAGAAAAAGGAGCAGGAAGAATATTTGAAGAAATAATTATTAAAAACTTCCCAAATTTGATGAAAAACATGAATCTACACATCCAAAAGCACAACAAACTCCAAGTGGGATAAATTCAAAGACATCCACATCTAGAAATATCATAATCAAACTGTTGTAAGATAAAAACAAAGACAGAATCTCAAAAGCAGCAACAGAGAAACAACTCATCACATGTGAGGGATCTTCAATGAAAGCTGGTTTTTCATCAGAAATCATGGAGGTCAGGGCCGGCCCGGTGGCGCACTGGAGAGTGTGCTGCTTGGGAGTGCGGCGGCGCTCCTGCTGAGGGTTCGGATCCCATGTGGGGACCGGTTCCCGCTCACTGGCTGAGCGCGGTGCAGGCTGCTTGGGAGTGCGGCGGCGCTCCTGCTGAGGGTTCGGATCCCATGTGGGGACCGGTTCCCGCTCACTGGCTGAGCGCGGTGCAGGCGCAACACCGAGGGTTGCCATCCTGTTGCCGGTCCCCGGTACGGGCACGACACTGAGGGTTGAGATCCCGTTACCGGTCAGTAAAAAAGACAAAAAAAAAAAAGGAAATCATGGAGGTCAGAAGGCAGTGAGATAGCATATTCATAATAGTGGGGGAAAAAAGACAGTAAACCAAGAATTCTATATCCAGCAAAATTATCCTACAAGAATGGAGAAATTAAGACATTACCAGACTCAGAAAATTAAGAGAATTTGTCATTAGTAAACCTGCCCTACAAGAGATACTCAAGGCAGTACCTCAGGCTGAAATGAAAGGGCACTTGATAGTAACTCAAATCCACATAAAAAAATAAAGAAAACCAATAAAGGTAACTACATAGATAAGTAAAAAGAGAGTATAAATGAGTTTTTTTCTTTGTAACTTGTTTTTTTACCAACTGCATAAAGCAATAAAAAATGTGTGCTGATGGGCATATGATATATAAACATATAATTTGTATGACAATAGAGTAGGAAGGAAAGAGAGCTATAAAGGAACATTTTTGAATATTGAAATTATGTTGGTATTAGTCCAAACAGGACTGTTTTAAATTAAGATATTAATTATAATCCCCAGAACAATCACTAAGAAAATAACTAAAATAAATACAGTAAAAGAAACAAGAAGGGAATTAAAAGAGCACATTAGAAAATACCTATTTAACAAAAAAAGGCATAATCGAGAAATAGGAAGAAAAAGAAAGATCTCAAATCAAAAACCTAAGCTTCCACATTAAGCTAGGGAAAAAAAGAGTAAACCAACCCAAAGCATTCAGAAGTTAAGAAATAATAAAGATTAGGTTGGGAATAAATAAAACAAAAAAATAAAAAAACAATAAAGATAACCAATGAAACCCAAACTTGGTTCTTTGAAAAAAACCCAACTAAATCAACAAACCTTTAGCTCGAATAACCAAGGAAAAAAGGAGGGAAAACCCAAATAACTAAAATCGGGAATGAAAGAGGTGACTTTAACCAGACCTTCCAGAAATAAAAAGAATTATAAAAGAATATTATGACTATGAACAGATTTTTATGCCAACTAATTAGATAGCCCAGATGAAGTGAACAAATAGCTAGAAAAATACAAACTACTAAAATTGACTCAAAGTGAATTAGAAATTTTAACAGACCTACCTACAATAAGTAAAGAGACTAAATTAGTAATCAAAAAAACTTCCCACAAAGAAAAGGCCAGAACCAGATGGCTTCCTTGGTGAATTTGACTGAACATTTAGAAGAATTAACACCAATTCTTCACAAACTCTCCAAAAACTAGATGAGGAATACTTCTCAACTCATTCAATGAAGCCAATATTATCCTGACACTCAAACCAGACAAGGACATCACAGGAAAACTAAGACCAATATCCCTATAGATGCAAAAATTCCCCAACGAAATGCTAACAATCTGAATCCAGCAACATAAAAAAAGAAATTTTACAACATAACCAAGCAGAAGATCCCTGGAATTAAAGGATGATTCAACAGATGAAAATCAATCAATGTAATACACAAAAATAGAATAAAGGCAAAAGACCACATGCTCATCTCAAGAGACACAGAAAAGCATTTGACAAAATCCCACCCCTTTTTATAACAAAAACACTTCACAAAACAGGAATAGAAAATATCTTCCTCAACCTGAAAAACAGCAACTACAAAAAACCCACAGCTAACATCACAATTAATGGTGAAAGATGGTCACTACTCTCACCATTTCTATTCAACATAGTACTAGATTGTTCTAGCCAGGGTACTAAGCAAGAGAAAGAAAGAGAAGAAATATAGGGCATCCAGACTGGAAAGGAAGAAGTAAAATCACTCATATTTGCAGATGATATGATCTTATATACAGAAAATCCTAGGCAATCCACTAAAAACTATAAGAACTAGTGAACAAATTCAGCAAGGTTGCAGGATATAAGATCAATATACAAAAATCAACTGTAATTTTAAATACTAGCAAAGAACAATCCAAAAATGAAATTAAGAGAACGCTTCCATTCAAAATAGCATCAAAAATTTCTTAGGAATAAATTTAACAAAGAAAGTGCAGGCTTTTACACTGAAAACTACGAAAATCATCATAAAGTAAAGACAAATAAATAGAAAAAATATCCTGTGTTCACAGGTTATAAAACTTAAAGTGGCAATAATCCCCAAATTGATCTACAGATTCAAGGCTATCCCTATTAAAAACCCAGCTGCCTTTTTTTGAAAAAATTGAAGATCTAATCTTAAAATTCATATTAAAATGCAAGGGACTCAAAATAGCCAAAACCATCTTGAAAAAGAACACAGTTAGAAGGAAGGACTTACATTTCCCAGAATCAAAACTTACTAATCTCAATGGTAATCAAGACAGTGCAGTATTGATATAAAGAGAGACATACAAATCAATGGAATATAATTAAGGATCTAGAAATAAAACCTTACATTTACTAAAACTAATTAATTTTTGACAAAGTGTCAAAACAATTCAATGGAGAAATAGAAGTCTTTTCAACAAATTGTTCTGGAATAACTGGATATACACACACAAAAAAATAAAGTTGAACCCTTACCTCACAACACATACAAAAAGTAACTCAATTAGAAGGGTGATTACCAGGGGCAAAGGGAAAATGGGGAGATGTAAAAAGTACAAACTTTCATTCACAAGATGAATAAGTTCTGGAAACCTCATATGTCTCCATGGTGACTACAGCTAATAATAATGTATTATATATTTGAAATTTACTAAGAGAGTAGATCTTAAATATTCTCACCACAAAATAAAGAAGGTAACTATGTGAGGTGATGGATATATTAATTAGCTTGAATGTGGTAATCATTTCACAAAGTATACATTTATCAAAACATCACATTGCACAATTTGATTATATACAATTTTTTTTTTCCTTTTTGTCTCTTTTACTGACCGGTAACAGGATCGCAACCCTTGGTGTCGCACCCGTACCGGGGACCGGAAACGGGATCGCAACCCTCAGTGTTGCGCCACACCGTGCTCAGCCAGTGAGTGGAACCAGTCTCCACATGGGATCCAAACCCTTGGCCAGAGCGCCGCCACGCTCCCAAGCGGCGCACTCTCCAGTGTGCCACCGGGCCAGCCCAATTATACACAATTTTGATTTGTCAATTATACCTCATAAAGCTGGGGAAAAAATTAACTCAAACCTTTTTGTCTCTTTTACTGACCGGTAACAGGATCGCAACCCTCGGTGTCGCACCCGTACCAGGGACCGGAAACGGGATCGCAACCCTCAGTGTTGCGCCACACCGTGCTCAGCCAGTGAGTGGAACCAGTCTCCACATGGGATCCGAACCCTTGGCCAGAGCGCCGCCACGCTCCCAAGCGGCGCACTCTCCAGTGTGCCACCGGGCCAGCCCGATTATACACAATTTTGATTTGTCAATTATACCTCATAAAGCTGGGGAAAAAATTAACTCAAAATAGATCAAAGATTTAAATGTGAGAGACAGAACTATAAAACTCTTAGACGAAAACGGGGGGTAATCAGCATGATCTCAGATTTGACAGTAGATTCTCAAATATGAAACCAAAAGCATGAGCAACATGTAAAAATAGGTAATTTGTACTTCATCAAAATTAAAAACTTTGTGTTTTAAAGGATATTATCAAGAAAATGAAAACATAAACCCAGAGAATGTGATAAAATATTTGCAAATCATATATCTGACAAGGCACTAGTATCCAGAATATATAAAGAACTCTTATGACATAATAGAAAGACAAATAATTCAAATAAACAAATGGTTCTGGAATAACTGGATATACACATATAAAGAGAATCTGGATATTTTTCCAAAGAAGATACACAAATAGCTAAAAAGGACATAAAAAGAAGCACAAAATCATTACTCATTAGGGAAACGAATCAAAACCACAATGTTACACAGCTTCACACCCACTAGGATGGCCATAATAAAACAGGCAGGCATTAACAAGTGTTGGCAAGAATAAGAAGAAACTGGAACCCTCATACATTGCCCGTGGTAAAGTTAAATGCTATAGTCACCTTGCAAACACCTTAATTTTTAATTCTTAAAAAATTAAATATAGAGTTACCATATTACCCAGCATTTCTACTCCTAGATATATGTCCAAGAAAAATAAAAACATGGGCCCACACAAAAACTTGTGCATGACTGTTTACAGTAACATATTCATAATAGCCAAAAGTGAGGACAACCCAAACGTCCATCAACTGATGAATGGATAAATAAAATGTGGTATATCCACACAGTGGATATTATTTGATAATAAAAAATAATGAAGTGCTTGTACATGCTATATACAGATGAAACTTAAAAACATTATGCTAAGGAACAGAAGTTAGACACAAAAGATCACATATTGTTTGAGTCTATTTATATGAAATGTCCAGAATAGGCAAATTCAGAGAAACAGAAAGTAGATTAGTGGTTGCCAGGTGCTGGAGATGAGAGAGAATGGAAAGTGTCTGCTAATGGGTACAGGGTTTCTTTTTGGGGTGATGAAAATGTTCTGGAATTATATAGTGGTAATAATTGTACAAATTTGTAAATATACTAAAAACTACTTAATTGTATGGTTTAAAAATGTGAATTTTATGTTGTGAATATAATCTCAATTTTAAAAAAATGAGACAAGTAGAGAAAAAATACTAAAGTCTCAGCTTACTCCCAAGTACACAAATTTTTGGAAATCTTATCTTCAGTTAATTAAACACTAACTCCTTTACAAAGACTACCCAGATTTACCCACACAGACTCAGACTCAGATGCTAGTTTCTCAAAACTGCATCTACTTGTTAGAGGATTACTCTATCAAGTTATACTTGTTTTCTGATATGTTTGTCTTCTCCACTAGATTGTTAACTTTCATGAAAATGGAATAAAATCTTTTCACTTTTTTTCATCCCCAATATACAGCTGAGGCTAAAAAACTAATGGTTAGATGCATACCACAGATCACCCAGTATTACTCCAGTGACTAAAGATATTTGATAACTAAAACATGATATTATGCCTGGTATAGAACATAAATTCACTAAATTTTGGTTTAATTCTTAGTCTATTTCTTTCCTTTCAGATATGATATCATAAAGGGGAAAAATAGACAAGAAAGAACTTAAAGCATAGTATTTGTCAAAACTACATTCCGTTGTCAATTCATTCATCTCAATCACAAAAGTAGCTGGAAATGGAACTGTTAAATCTAATCACAACTATTATATAAAATTCTTTGAGTTCATTTTCATATGAGTAATGAAAACTTTTTTTTATCTGCTCCTTGACTGTTAGTAATCATCCCTATTGCTTACTCTAAATTAAGCTCTTGTTGATAGCTTATTTGAAGTAGAGAAGAAATCAACATTCATGTTGATTTTACTATTATTCCATTATAACCTAAATATCTAAAATGCCTAACTTTTATTAATACCTTTTATCACCACAGCTTCATCAGTATAGAGGTAGTCTAAAACAACTTGCAGTATGTCAGAATGTATGGGTATTTCCAGAGCTGCACAACTGGAAGCCTAAACAAATAAGATAAAATAAAGTAAAATAATTAATTTTAAACAATAAAATACTATTACATTCTAATTGGGGTTACTGGTACAAAAAACTCTGAGCAGAACATCACATCGAATGTAAAAGAACATCAGATTTACAAAACACAAAGCTAAAATGAAAAATATTTAAGTCTCATTACAAAAAAGGAACAAAGAAAAATTCAACAAACAAAAAACACACTGGCATTTCCAATACACTTCTAAATCATATGAGGAAATTTTGATTCATGTAGCCTTTTAGCACAATTTTAAATTCTAAATGTTATTGTTTTCTCCACTAGATATTTTCCAGCAAGATTAAGTATAAATAAAGTTCAATACAAATGAAAAATTGAGCTAAAATATTAAGTTCCAATTTTGAACTTCCTTAGTATGTAATTTCCCAAAAATCTAAAGAAGTATAGTTACCAGTCTAGGTGTTTTCTACTTAAATCTTACCTCAATCCATGAGCTACTCAGCATACTATGAAAATATTCTGAAAGAAAAAAAAAATTTCAACGTAATAAGAACAGTGAAACAGAACTAAAACAAATAGATCAGCAACTAACAAAAAGTGTACCTACCAAGTCTAGCACAAAGAACACATTTATGACAAGGAAATTCCTTTCCATCCACTGATTTCATGGTTACATCACACAGAAATGAACTGAAAGAAAAATGCTTAATTGGAGCAAGAGCAATTGTTTTGCACATTTAGCAAACAAAAACACTTGGTATAGGATTTGGCTTAACTTTAGATTTTCTCTTAGTTAAAGGTATTAAAGAATAAACAATTTGTGGGTACACATACAAAGTATTTCATCTCTCTCCACCCTAGGGAAGACAATAAAGTGCTTTAATAAAAACAATATTTAAAAAGGAAACTGAATACAGGTAAATATTCAAAACATATTTTTTCCTATTTTTTCTAGTTTTTCTTTTTTGTTCCAGGCAAAGTGTATATAATAGTAAGTGAGATCCTATTTAAAGCTCTTTAATTCACTTACTTATACAACCTATCCTGTGTCAGGCACAGTCTAGAAACCTTCACAGTTTCTTTTTCTCCAAAACCTTTCACCTATAAAAAAAGTATGAATACCTAAAAACAAAACTTTCAATAACATATTTAGAATAGCATACTATTGAAAAAAATAAATAGTAAAGCCAATAATTATCACAATGATGAAGATGCATGATTAATTTGGTTTTGGGTTAATATTTCCTACTTATAACAAGATACAAAATTCAGGCAAGAAAAAAAATTAGAAGTTCTTCTCTTCATCAGAAAGTAATCAGAAAGAATGAACTCCCAATGTTTTATTGGGCAGTTGATATTTTATCCATTCACCTCAGTAGCCATTGAGCCATTTACTCGCCCCATTTCCATAAATGAAGAAGACTAGAAAAGGTAAGAGGGTATCTGTCTACACATTTTGCTTCATATGTGAGTAAGAAGAGCTCTATTTCCACACTTACGTGTGGAATTAAAGATAGAAAGTTTATCTTCCTTTCCTAACTTACCATTTTTTCTGATTTAGCTTCAGTTTATTACCAGTTTTCTTGGCAATAACATTAATTTTTTCATTTTCAAATCTGACACCATCTAACCTATCAAGAATAGATAAAAATTAACAATTGGTGAATATATTCCCCTACCAAAATAAACATACAACGAAAACCCAACAAATTAGCTTACATCTGAACATAATTATACTTTAGTATCTTAACAAGCCCCACTCAGAGATAAAGAAATATTAAACCTTTTCTTCAATATGAATTAGAATTCAAAAAAATTAAATATTATTGGCAAAAAACAAATCAAAGCCATGGCACAAACTCTTTCACTGTTTTTAAATAGAAAACATGATACACACTCCTCCCCTACTCCCACCCACAACTAAGATTATACTGTCACAAGCAATGTGAATATCTTAAAAAGAGAGAGAGAGAGAGAAATCCAAAGAATCTGATTTATAATGTGACAGATACTGTTGGGGACTTGACACATGCTATGTGAAAAACTATACCAACAGTATGAGGTGAATATTATCCCTCCTATCTCATATATTGAGAAACTGAAATTCAAAGAAAATAAGAAATTTGCCGCAGTCAGTAATAGTAGAGCTAAGAGGCATATATAGGTCTAACTCCAAAGTCTTTCTAGCACACCATCCTCCTGCCTGCCACTCCAGATCCATTAAACACTCACACCACAGAGTTCAAACCCACTAACAGCCTTCCTATCCTTTAAGTTCTAATCCAGGGAGTCCCACAGAGATAGCCCTGACAGAAAATGCAGGAAGAACACATCCATGCACAACCCCCAAAAAAGAAAGTGGGGGGAGGGGACAAGGGAGGGGGAGGAGAAAGTGGGGGGAGAAGGAGAGGGAGGAAAGAAAAGCAAAGGAAAGAAAAAAAGGAATAATTTTTAAAAGGAGGATGCCGTACTTACAGACAAATAAATTTTGTTAGTGCATGTATATGCATCTTCAACATTTTCAATAAATACCAGTTTACAAACTAATGGGAACACTCATCATTCCCAGTATAACAAATTCTACCTTCGGGTTATCCTGGTAACACAAGTACTTACAGACAAATAAATTTTGTTAGTGCATGTATATGCATCTTCAACATTTTCAATAAATACCAGTTTACAAACGAATGGGAACACTCATCATTCCCAGTATAACAAATTCTACCTTCGGGTTATCCTGGTAACACAATTACAAGTCTAACTTCTCTACAGTCCTCGGCAACAGCTGTTCAGTTAACTTTGCACCAGAAGCTACTGAACACAAAAGAACAGTGACTGTTCCTTCTAAAAATGAAATTTAATATATAAAAGTATACCTTGTTTTAGGATCTGACTGCAGGATTGCAAAGTTGCACCCACTTGGATCTGTGCTGATGCTAACAGCTCTATGGGCAAAAGTAAGTTTCTCAAGTCGAATTCTTTCATACATGTTGTTTATATCAGAGACACAAGACACATCTGCTGAAGAATTATGAAGACTTGATAAAATTTCTGCTAAAAAGAAAAAAATAAAACTACCATTAATCAAGGCTTTATTGAAACTACTAAAAGGATTTAGGAGTAAATGAGGCAGGAAAACAATTGGGAGAAAATGAAAATATTTTTCAAATACATTAAGTCCTTTTGAAGAACTACATCTTCTCTCTCTCTAACACAACATTTTGCACCAAATATATTGGTTGTATCACACAAGAAATTTTTGATGGGTCAATTATCAATTATCCATGATTTCATGTCTTTCAACAAACATCCTCTATACTGCAATCAAAGCTATCTTTCTAAAAAGCAAATCTAGCGTCATACTAGCTTTTATAGTTCCTCACCTTGCCTTAAAAATATATAAATTTAGTATCTTCATAATCTATTTATTTGCTCCCTCCCTTCCTCCTGCCCCTTTCTTGCATTTATTCAGCAAATATCTGGGTGAACATATGCTGCTAATGTGATACAGTGATCATCAGTCTATCCCTAGTGATACAGTAGTGAACAATATAGACATGTCTCCACCCTCATGGAATACAAAATCTAGTAGAGAAGACAGATATTAAACAAATTGTTATATCATTACAAGTCAAACCAAGGCTATGAAAGCAAAGTATATAATGCTTGCACATAGATAGAAAATTTGCATGTGAAGAAATTATTCTGTCTGTAGTCTGAAGAATGTTTTAAGTAAATAAAGAATAGATATAAAGAGGCCATTTAGAAAGATACTTTAAGTCCAGAAAAAGAATAAAAGATGATATAGGTTGGGGATGTAGCAATCCATCTGGAGAAAACTGTAAAGATTTCAGAAACATTGAGGCAGAAATTATAAAAGTTGGTGACTGATTGCATGTACTGGGTGAAGGAATATGAGGTGTCAAAGATAACCATTTACTAAGATAGAAAACAAGAAACAGATATGAGAGCATGAGATCATAAATTCAGTTCCAGATCACTAGGCATGACTAAGACCCAATTCTAAAGACTTCCAATACTAACAAGTCAAATCTGTTTTCTGGTTACTCTCTCAAATTCACTCTATGGGTATTTCAGTCTTAGGGATCTTACTAATTAAACCCTGAAACTCAGTTATTCCAATTTCTATGTTCTCAAGAAACTTATACGTGCATAGTAGCATTTGTCTCAGTGAACTGCATTTAGATACATATATATCACTTCTACAAGCTTGAGTGCTTCAGAACAGGGGTTCATTTTATATATTTTTCTATAATTAAAACCTCACCCTCTATCTGGCACATAGTAAATATACCTTACATGTTTATAGACTTAGATAATCTATAAAGAAATAAAAGAAATACAACAAATCAATAAATTATCTAAAAATTCTTTTATGGCTTTATGATTTTGAAGAATATGTTTATATTTTTCTGAGTAATTATAAACATTAACATACAATAACTGATTTATTCATACAACAGATGACTCAATGAGGGACTACAATGTGCCAGGAAGTATGTCAGGAGATATGCCAAATGCTAAGGACACAGTGGAATAACCATGGCCCTTGCCGTCAATGAACTTAATCTAATAGAAGACAGGCACTTTTTAAAAAAGCTAGTCACAAAGATAAATACATAAACACATAAGGGGAAAACCTAACAATACTTGTCAAATTAAAGATTAACTGAAAGGGTATTTTATGTGCCATCCACACATATGAACTGACCTTTCTTTTCAGAAATCTTTCTTTTTTCTTCAAACCATTTCCCTCTAAATCCTTCCCCATCCTGTGTGACAAATAGAATTTCATTTCTATTTAAAGCAATATCAGAAATGTAGACCTGGCGTGGATAGGCCCATCGACACTGCTTCAAAGAACTACTGACTGATCTCCAGCAAAACACCTAAAATAAAACCAAATCACACTGGGATATAAAGCAATGTAGAATCTGAAGAAACAAAACCTGAAATCAAAAGACAATATTGTCAAAACCAAAGCTCTAATTAGTATGTTTCAATGTTCATCCGTCCACAGAAAAAGACAGATAGTATAAAAGTCAAAAAATAAAAAACAAAAGTCAAAATTACTTTAAATAACTACATCTCTCAGGAAAGTACATTATGCAAACAAGAAGCAATAAAAATTATTTCAAACACACTCTTCTTCAGGAGAGGTCATTTTTTGGCATTACTCGCTTGGGGCAAATAAATCTGCTAAGATGCTAAAGAAAACCAAACTCTTAAAGCTAAAACTGACATGTCAGCCTTGCTGTAGTTCCATCAATTTATAAGAAGAATGAAAATTACCCTATAAAAATCCAAACTTTACTCTCAGGAAAAAAAGTAGATGTATGCATAACTCAATTATATAACTAAAACAAAATCTCACAAATAAAAAAATTGTCATGGTGTTTAATGGTTTCAAATGGTTTTGCAAACCTTAGTGTTCCTGAGAAGTGGTTCAGGAACTATTGCCAAGAAAGGGAGAGAATGATGACAGATGGGATGTTAGGCTTCCCAATTCAGCTGTACACACAGAGCAGCTCTTTTTATCTGTTTCTTATATTGGTATTCCAAGTAGGATTTCATTTGGAAAATTAAAACTGATTTTTAAAATTCTAATTCCCTCATAATCAACTTAAGAAAACTAAAGTACAAAATGTATCTGCCAAGCTCATTCAAAAGTTATTTACACACAAAAAAGACTATAATGGTTGAGATTGATCGATTCCTTCAGAACTTGGTTTTCATAGTGACTGTATTTTGCAGGAAGTAAATACCGAGAAGTATAAACTAAATCCATATTAATATAAGTACAAGTACTCCCAAAGTCAAATGTAAGTTTTTATACTCATCTCTTTTATGTATTCCCATGCCTCTGTTTCCTTCTGTTAGTACAAATTACAGCTCTAATTCTTAAACCTACTTTCCTCTATTAAAATTATCAACTGCAGAAACTTATGCCTATAATGAAGCAGTAAGTGAAGATTTATAATTAATTCTTCAATTTCTAAAATGTCAAGTTTTACAGAGCTTTATCAACCTCAGAACAAATTATTTTTTTCATTTTATAAGCAAAACCCAGAAAGTTATCTGTTCACAGTGTATAAAGTTATCTAGTCACAGTGTATACATTTTTCAGTATTACTAATGCATATTTTTAAACATAATTTTTTAAATTTAAATATATTATTATTTAAATATATTATTTTAAATTTAAAAATAGCTATATATATAACACACTGATAATATTAATTTAAGTATATACTTAGATATTTATAATTTTAATCTGTACCTTAAATTAACAATCTTATTAGAGAAATGTACTGATATGTTTGCACAGAGAACTGAAACTAGAACTCTCCTTTTGAGATAAGAGATTTTTTATATACTAATGATCTAAAAATACACTATCTTTTATATACAGTGTGGATAGTTAAAAACTCTGCATATAGATAAGAATTTTATATATGCTGAGGATAAATGAAAATCGATGGAGAAACAAATTATTTTTTTTAAACTGCATACACACACACACACACACACACACACGAGTACTTCAAAAGTATTATTTTTCAATTCTATTTTTCCACAAACTTTTTGAAGTACCCCTGTGTGTGTGTGTGTGTGTGTGTGTACACACCAAATAATCCAGTAAAATCCCTTATTTTCATTTCATGCACAATAAATGAACTTTTAAATTACAGTTTAACAAAGCAACACTGCACAACATTAGATTAAATGTTGTCATACTTCTCTGAAATACCAGCTCCATACTAATTAGTACTGAATGTCAAAAATCAGTAGGGAAACAAAGTTAATAGGAATCATCACTAAAATAGCAATACATTTTCACATTATCAGATCCTCTATAGCTATCAATTGAAAATAACATTACCACACTTTCACATAAATATATACTTACCCTTCCAGCTCCATCCATTGCAAGAATGCAAATTTTTTGACCCTCATTTTCTTCCAAATGTTCAGGATCAACTTTGTATTCCATGAGACCCCCAGATACAAGAATTTTTTTCAAGTTCAGTTGTCTGGGTAAAAAAAAAATCCTAGATTAATATGTTCTCGAAAATACACAAGCTAAACATTAAAGAAATTACTATTTATTTGTTTATTTATTCTTTAAGACCAGTAAGGGGATCTTAACCCTTGACTTGGTGTTGTCAGCACTGCACTCTCCGAAGTGAGTAACCGGCCATCCCTATATAGGGATCCAAACCCACGGCCTTGGTGTTATCAGCATTTCACTCTCTCAAGTAAGCCATGGGCCAGCCCTAAAGAAATTACTATTTAAACAATAATCTATAAGTGACTATTACAAAAGTTGAAGTGAAAAGATTTGGTCTTTGGTATCCCTAGTCCTTCCTTTCTGTAAGTTTCTACATTAAGGTGGCTGTTTCTTTCTATGGCAGGTCCTTCTCTCTCAAACACTTCTACTCACAGACACACACATTAAAAACCTAAAGCCATGCTTGTACACATTCACTCTGCAGTTTAAATAATTAGTAAAGCTATAAGCTTCTGAGTATATTCACATTCTAACAGAAAAGAAAAATTTTAAACCTCAAAACTAAATAGAAAAGCTTAACTTCAAACATAGCCAATCCTAAGTAGTTACAGCTACTAGGAAAGTCATTACTACTGCTATTTTAATAACTCATCCATTAGGCTCACATTTCATTATATCTGCACATCTGATGTGTGCAGCACTGTGTGAAACCTGCCTGATGCTATTCCAATGATTGTCCTTCCTTTCAGGTAGTTTGCCTGCATTAAAGAAAAAAAAAATCTTTTCAAAATTACTATGCTCTAACTTAATCTATAATAAAAGAATTTTCTCAGTGAAACCTTGGACATAACTTACGGTTATTCAACTTGATGTTATAAGGGCAAGTTTTATAAATGTTAACTAAAAATATAACCGAACATCCAACAAATCACCTCGTGTTCAGAAAAAAATCTATTTAGTTGATTCTAAGAAACATCTATGTTCACACTTTCATGTTTCCATAATTAAAATATGACCTACAACTGAAGTTAAAAGTAATTCCAATTGTTATACAGAGAAGATAAGTTATGACAAATTGTTGTCTGCATTTTCTGCTCATGAGTAACTTAATGAATGGTGTCTGTTTATGACATTACTATTGCTTTTACATTAACAAAAGCACATTGTGGCATTTAGATTTAAACTTTAAATCTCTATTAGCTTTAAAAGCTAACGGCTATCCTCTAGAATTCCTGCACATGACTGCTTCCATTAGTTCAGGTGTACTTTTCAAGAATCAGTTGTATTTGTGCAAAGACCTATTTCTGTACTTATATTTATTAATATAATTATATAATGAAATACTTTAAAAACAAATGAAATCTTAGTCTGAAAAGATAAAATGTTTTCAACAAAAGAGGAATACTTTGGAATGACGATATGAGTAGCAAAAAACTTCTGTCAAATCTGATAGATTAATCAACTACAAAATATTTAAAAATGTAATAAAAATATAGGATTTTGCACTTACATTACTTCATAATTGTTTTTAAGCACTTGCTCCTTAAATCATTTAAATAGTATGCAATTATTTTTGAAAGTACATAACCGTGTAATATAAAAGGCTACACATGAACCAATGATGATTCATGAATGAACCATGAATTATGATTAATCTAGTTCTATGCACCTGAACCATAAAAAGAAAAAATACATATATATAGGTCATATTTAACCATATGTTAAACATAATTCAGAAACAGTTTTATATCCTACAAAGAAATTTTACAATATTCACTGAATCCTTGACAAAAGACAAAGATCATCAAAGACAGAAATTACTGACATTTCCCCCCATTCAGTTTTTTCCATTTGACATTAACAGAGCATAACATAAAGCTTATACTCAGATATTAGCTGGAAGAGTTGAACTATTATTAAAGTTATGTTTTTAGTCACAGAAATACACATACTTAGAAGCCACCTTCTTGCACTGATAATCTGCAAGTAAGTAAATATCTCCCCTTGTGGTAACACAGACTGTGGCCCCATCACTTGCAGCAACCAAAGACAGAGTGACGTCCTTATGATGAATGGCAGAAACTTGACGAGGAATAGTTACACACTTTTCTCCACTGGGATCTAGTAAATAACCTGAAAAATTACACACATAAACAAATCACAAAATATCTGTTTTAAGAGACTAATTTATTTCCCAGATACTGTCACCAAAGATTTCTTACCCAGTTGTCCACCATTTAGTCCCATAGTATAAACAGCTTCTCTAGTCCATAGCACTGTATGAAATCTGCCTGCTGCTACTCCAATGATTGTCCTTCCTTTCAGATATTTTGCCTGCATCTATTTAAAAAAACAAATAAGACTGCAGTTTACTACATATCTATGATGTATACAATTTTTCAAAGATCCAGTAGACCAGCAAATATATGACATTTGCTGCCAGTACCATCTCAAATGCAAATGGCAGTTGTTGCTAATAGATCTCAGGACTTAATACTAAGACCTGAACCCTTCTCAGAACACAAGACATTCTGATGTAGCCACTTTCACTCAGTAGTTTTAACATATAAAAAATTGACATGACATAAAAACCAAACCATTAAATTTTTGTCTATTTATTTTCTTCTAACAAGCAATATGCAAAACAGGCATTCTCATTCGTACTAGAAAACACAATATTTTTAAATTTGACATACCCAGTGTCTCCCAACAATGACACCACATTTTCAGCCAAATAACTGTTTGGTGTGAGGAAGTGTCTTGTGCACTGTAGGATGTTAAGCAGCATCCCCAGAACTCTACCCACTAGCTGTCAGTAGTATCACCACTCCCCTCCAGTTGTGATGACTAAAAATGTCTTCAGATATTGCTAAATGACCCCTGGGGGTCAAAACTGCCCCCAGTTGAGAATGCCAGACATGTCTATATCAACCCAGAGCTCCAAGAATAGCCACATAATGAGAATAAAAATGGGAGAAAAATCTACAAGGGTACTTCAAAAAGTTCATGGAAATATTCATATTATCTTTCAATTCTATTTTTCCATGAACTTTTAGAGGCACCCTCATATTTGCCATTCCTAAACAAGTCTATAATACAGTTAAATATCCAAAAATTCCAAGGTTGGTTGGAGAAAATGGAAATTCTAAAAAGTACCGGATTGGACACTACCCCTAATTACTTTGGGGTAATTCCTATTGATTCATTAGTCATCGAGAATAGAGATCTGTCAGATTTATATACTTAATAAAAAAATGCATATCCAATAATAATTTTAAATCCAGAAGATTAAACCAGTAGAGAAATTTAACATCTAAAATGCAAAATGTTATGAGCTGAAAACATATTTGTTATGTGTGATGATTCTAACAACACATTAATTTAGAGCACCAGTCCCAGTTCTTTGTACTAAGTCCCTGAAGTTGGGGAAAGGGCAACTTCTGGTGGGGGCTGTGCAGATGCAAGTGGGACAATAAAACAAAGGATGGTGGCTTCTGGACCCATGTGCCTGCACATCAACTTACTAGGTGTGACATCTGTGTAGAGGCAGAGGTAATGAAAGCAAATAAAACTCGGGTTTCTGGGTGCCTCAACTGCATCCATTTTGTATTGACAAGTTTCTAATTTTTTCTTAAGAAGGGCCTAAAAATTGTTTTAATTTCAGACCTCAAAAATCTAGATCTCTCTCTGCTTATGAATACTTAAAAGTTGAATCTATGGCAGTTTAGTGGCTTATTCCCCAAATGCCTAATTTTCTAATGCTTTCTTTCTTATTCCAAACAAATGCTAATTTGTACTACGCTTAGCTTCTGTGAAAAATGAAGAAAATATATACCACTGAAGATGAAGTTAAATAACATGAGTAAAATAAGTTACTCCATCAACCTTGTATTTTTTTGTCCATGTAGGTTTTATAGTAAATAGTCACCTTAGTATTTAAAAAAGAGTAGTTTAGTTTACCTGTCTGGGTACATTACAACTGGAAGGTGCAGGAATTATTCCTAACTGATGAAAAATATTTAGACCAAATGTGTAAACACATCCATCTTCAGTTAATACAACAGTATGATCCTTAGCAGCTGCCACCTGGGAACAATTATGACCACTTAGTCCTTCCACAAGTCTGGGGACCTACAAAATAAAATTAACTTCAGTATATTAACCATTTGTACAGAAATATAATAGAATCTGATGATACTACAGCCAAAATAGCATAAACTCTACATTTCAGCAAAGAGCCGATGAATTTAAAATACATAAACCTGGTAAAACATTTCAATAAAATAATTCAATTTAACAAATGATTTTTGAGCCCTTATCATATACCAAATGCAAATCTGTTCGGTGTCAATAAATGGAGCTCTTCAAAGTATTCATTGGTAAATTGAAAAAAATATATAGAAATCAAGGGGCTGGCCAGTTAGCTCAGTTGTTTAGAGTGCAGCCTTAGAACATCAAAGTCAAAGGTTCATATACCTGGACTGGCCAGCCACCAGAAAATAAAAAGAAATCAGTGCTTCCCTTCAGTGAGTAACCAAAAATACTATAACATATTCCTTTGGAGTTATCTGTCCTGGATTCAAATATTACTTCTGCCACTTACTAGCCATTTCACCTCAATCAAATTTCTTAACCTCTCTGTACCTCATTTTCTTCATCTGAAAACAAAGTCGGCAATCAACAAATGACTGTATTGTAAGTATTTGCATAAAATGAAGATAATAATGCCTATACCTCACAGGGCTGGTGAGAGGCTTAAGTTAAGGTAATGATAATGCATGAAAGCATAAAAAATGCCTGCAACACAATAAATACTCAAAAATGGAAGTCATTATCATTATAGCTTTCCCTCCTTTTTAAAGCACCCTTGAATAGATGATAAATATACCAGTAATCCCCTCAAAAAAAAAAAATCTTAAAGATAATCTAGTGAGTCAATTTTCTGATATGTAATGAACTAGCTTTCTTCCAATTAGAACTAAGTTTCAGTAGCATAAAAATCAATGTTGTAATTATACAATGAAAATAGTGCCTCAATTTTTAGGCCATAGATATTTTAATAAGAAGTTAAATAAAAACCTGGACTACTTCAGAAACGGGGTTTTACAATTAATCTGCCTTTTCTTATTTCAACTCTGGAAATACCTTAAAGCTTATCTATATACTCTCTGAACTCAATATGTGCTATAAACAAAACATTATTTCTCTTTGTTACTTTTGTATGTAAATCCTTCATTTGACCATGATATACCAGAAAAGTACTTGATTTTTAAAATTGTTTATAAATTGATACATTATTTTCTCTTTATAGTTGGAAAAAAATTAGTTAACTCAAACTTCCAGTTTATCAAAGTTTTACTGAAGTTACCTAAACTATGTAATGACATTTCAATTACCAAGCATGTCTGTTCATCTCCATGGCCTAGTCGCCCTCCAGGACCATGACCACAGGTATAAACCTGCCCTTTCTGAGACAGAAACACTGAGTGAAATTTACAAAGCACCACCTAAGAGGAATAAGAAAACAATATTAAACTTTTCTGAATAAAATAGCCCTTATTTTATAAAAAAGAAATAGACTATTGCTAATTGTTTAAACTGGATGATGAGTACAGGGGATTCATTTATTCTCTCTACTTTGCACATGTTTAAAATTTTCTGTAATAAAAATGAAAAATATACATGCCTTATTTTTAAAATTATGTCTAAAAACACTGATATATGGGAAAAGAACAAAGATAGAATTAAGCATGTGTTACTACAGAAAATATTAAATAAAGGAAAATGTAAGTTTTAAGTCTTCAATTACAAAAAAGTAGTAGCCAGTTTTGTTCCAATTTCATGAAACATCAAATAACGAGAATTGAGCTGAGTGCAATATGAAGCATGAAGATTTCCAAATAATATAATTATTAATAAAAACAATAGAAATGCCTTCAGATATTTCTTAAAAATAATAATGTCATTTATAAACAAGGAGGGGAGAGGAGGGTGGCAGTATGGCCTTCCTGTATCTCTGGTCTTATCTATATTTAATACTATTATATGGTTTTAAATAATTTTATATTTATTTGAAAGTTCTTCCCTCTTTCCCACTTCTTTTCTCATATGCCTTGTTCCCAATACCTCCCTGTCCCCTGACACACACCTTTACATATTCACATACTGCTGACGACAAGGATACTGAAGTGGCTAAATTGCATCAGTAGAAGGCAATAACAGGAAACTGATAGCAGTTTTAAATATGCATGTACTTACATACCTAGCCCCAGGCCACATTTTGCTATTTTTAATGCATCTAATATTTATTATACTCAATTTACCTTAATATTATTTAAAAATCCTTTTTTCTTATTTTTAAAAATTACTTGCATTTATATTTTTTATGTCATCTGTAAATATTTCTAACTTAGGATATAAAAAGATGGGTAAAAAATAAAGAAATCCTAGAATCATTTTCCAGAAAGTCAAGGTCCTTTGGAAAATAAGAAATTATAAGATGAACTACAAGCTCTAAATATTTACATGTATCTTTAGACAACTCAGAGAGTTCTGTAAACACAGAATGCCCATCAAAAAAGGAATGCAAAAGTCATTATCTCATTTAGCTGTACCACAAATACCTGAAAAGTCCAAAAATAAAACTCAAATTTGTATTTTAAAGTTACAAGTTACAAGGAAAAATCATTTTATGAAATCAGAAATAATACATTTTGTTCAATTTTATATTCAATATTAAAAAGCCATTCTACAATTCCTGACTACTTCTATTAAACAACCAGTGATATCAGAGAGTTTAATCCTCCAACTTTAAAACCTATGCATTTTTTATGGCCCTTTAGTTCGGTTGGTTAGAGCATGGTGCTGATAACACCAAGGTCAGGGGTTCAGATCCCTATACCTGTCGGTTACCTAAATAAACCTCTGAATTTTTAAACAAGATGAGTGAGCATGTCTTTTCACTTTAATTTTCTGGAATATATAACGCTAATATTAATTGTCTCTGTCGCACGGTAATTAATTCATTTGGTACTACACTACATAATTAGCTCTTTTTCAGTGACTAATAGGGTTCTCTATATAATTGGTACTTACTAAATATTCCTATTATTTGCTTCCTCTTCCCCAACTAAAATTTACACTATTTTCTTTCCTCTCAAACCTATCATAGTGCTCTCTTCACCTTCCTTCTGTGGTAAATAAAATCTCTTAGATCCTTAATCTCACAAAATACTCTCACTTCCTTGCCTTAACTGAAATGCAGCCTTCTCTTTGAGTGCCCTGTTTTACCCATAATCTTGTCAAGTGGCATATGCTCAATTCTTCTATACCACATATATCTTAGGATCAGACAGTACAATCACCCATTAGTTTCATAATGTCACCATCATACCTACTCTTGTGTAAAAATCCCTGCTCCTTAACAGCTCATGAAATCTGACTATATCACATACTAACTCAGGAAAGGAAAAACAGGTATCTTTCTTATGCCCCAACTCTGATCAATCATTAGCATCTGCTAATGGGTGGATTACCATATTAAGAAGGATTCTGAGGACCTGCTCAAGCTAAAAAAAAAAAAAAAAGAAAAAATTCTGATTAGCAATGTCTGCCAAAGGCTCTGGACTGGCTGGAAGCAGCACATACATTTGCAACCCCTGCTCTAATTGCTCACCATCTTGCTCAACTCCCTCACATTCACTAATGACTTGGACACCAGACTTATGATTCCTGCCCATCCCAAGTTCAAAGTTCCTTCCAGGTATATAGAGATAGCCTACCAGAATCCTAGCTTTTATGACTCCACTCTTCTCCCTACTTCTCTGGTCACTTTTCATTTTTATATGGGCTCCTGCTCCTGGACTCTCAAAATTTAATATTCTCTGGAGTTTAACTGTTCTAATTTTGTTTTGTTTTTAATGGCTAGTTGTGATCTATTAGGCTGGGACTTTCAGTTTAAAACACAGTGTTTTACAGAGCCCTAAATATAGTGGTCATATAATTTATACAAATATTTCTGAGTATGAAAGAGGATAACATGAATAATTACACAAGGAAAATAATCATAAACCAGAACTGTCCTAGACAAACCAGGGATATATGTCAAAGTAGCTCTAAACAACTGTCTAAGAATTTAATCTCAAAAGACAAGCTAAGTATTTGTATGTATGTAGTATATGAACATGAGGTGAAAATTGAGAAGAGCCAGTAGTATAGTAATAAAAAGCTCCAAACTCACATTTTTGGTCAAAAGAACCTTCATTAACTTCAAAATTCATAAAGAACACAAATAGAAAGTTGTGGGAAACATGAATTGAAATGGTAGTTTAGGAAGATTGAAAAAGGCCTTACATTTCCAAGCCATAGAATTTGGATTTTATCCAAAGGTAAATTAGCAGGTAAAGACAAAATTGCTCTGTTTTTTTAAAGACAATAATTCCAGAGAATAATATTAACAGGGACTGGAAATAAATGAAGCCAATGAGTCAAATTAGGACACTGCAGTCATTATCTAAGAAAAGAGCTTGAAAAAGATATGGCAGCTAAGTTCATAAGACAGAGATGAACTCAATAAACATGTTCTGAAGTATAATCTTCAGGATTTAGAAACTGAGATTTATAACATTAAAAATTAAGTAGGGAAAGTTTAGGAGTGGTAAAAATAATACTTCAGACATGTTAAATTTAAATATCTTGAAAGAACATCCAGAATAAAATTGAAATGAAGTTCCAGAGAAAGGCTGAGGTTAGACATAAATTATACATACACATGCCCATATATACTCAGTGTTAAAGAAAAAGAGAGTATGTCAACAGAAGTAGAATCTACAGAAGTACAAGGTATCATCCAGCATAAGGATATAAGACTAAAGACCAAACCTTTACAATTATGTCAATTAAAATTTTACAGTTGCTTACATTTAAGAACTCAGGTTCACCTGCCAAAAATAACATTGAGCTTCAAAAACAAATTCAGTTGAGAAACAACTTAAAGGATTCTAATTTTTATTAAACAGAAACAAAAGCTAGAAAATTATCAGAAGCTCTACCTTTTTAAAGTTAAATTAATATCTGTATAGCATTTTCTAATTTCTAACATTGCATATATAAATATCTCACATTTTTAGGGTATTTTTACACAGTCTGAATATGAATCAGACTAACAAAATCTAAAACAGAATTAGTAAAGTTCTCTTAATTTCTTCCTTAAAATTTTATATTGTACCTTCAACAAAGTTAACACAATCCAAATGAAAAGCTGAGCTATCCAATACGAAAGTTCTTTTTAATCTCTAAAAGTATGCAGATTTTACTTCAAAATACCTGCTTGAGGCTGGCTGGTTAGCTCAGTTGTTTAGAGCAGGGTGGTGATAACATCAAGGTCCAGGGTTCAATCCCTGTACTGGCCAGCTGCCAAAAACAAACAAACAAAAAATACCTGCTTGATATAAACCCCGCTCCTGGAGAAGAGATCCACCAACTCTGGATGATGTTTGCTATTCTGGCTTCCATGGCCCAAGGTAAAATTTGTATTATCGCCCCAAGTGTAGACATCTGTAGGATCTAAAATGAAAATTAGTTTGTATACTCTTTTATATTTTAAAATAAATATCAGTTTACTTCAACTATAGATATACTCTACTAGTCAGTTTACCTAAAACATGACTCTTTACAGGAACTAACTTAACTACCATATTTAGAAAGATGCCAACACTTTTTAAAATTATGAATCTATTAATCTATCTATTAATATGATATTATATAATTCTAGAAATAGAAATCATATAATCCAAATAATAGTACAGTCCTGCCTCAATGTAAGCAGTCAAACATTTGTTCCTTGTTTCTTTAGCAGCTTAAGTTTAACTGCCAAATGAGTAAAATACCACCTGCCATATCTACTTAGTTTCCATGAAAATAATATATATAGTTATTTTAAATGTAAGATGCTATTAATTCATATATATAAAGGTTCTAAATAAAGCAAATGTGATATTACTGTTTCTGCAGAAACATTAACCTTCAATAGTTTGCTCTTGATAGACATAAAATAATATTAGCGATTAGGGTAATATCCTATTAAACTGGGATAAAACTTAATCACAGCTAAGTTTATGGTATAAATCTTCATTTTTATTTTGGATGACTAATAAAATCCTAGAATGGAATTATAACTGTTACCTCCAATGTAGTGTCCAAGACAGAAATAAAAATGAAGAATGTGTCCTTACTTAGCTTGCTCACTAGTTAAATGCAAACTATGCAGTACCCCATTTAAATCTCTTCTTTTCTGCCAATTCCCACTTCCAAAGCTCAAAGTGCAAACTGAAGGGATGAGTGAAATCAGAATGTGTAGACAGAGATTCATTTCTATTCCTTTTTCCCTCTACCTAAAATGTTGATGTTACTTTCTAGATGCACATTAATTACTTTACAGTCATTACAATTCTAACTGCCTTCCCATTCTAGGCTGTATTTTTACACTTATAGACACAAATATGGGTTAAAACTGAAAAATGCAAAATAAAACAAAGTATTCTAAGTATCAAACCTAAGTAAAAGTTCTTAGCAGATATCCACACACAAATCTTCCTTGCTATTGTAGTAAGAATAAAATTGTATTAAAATTTTCTAAGCTGTACCTTAATAGAATTTATAAAATTTTCTTACCAGTATTTTTGAACACTACATGAGATGGTCTGTCCTTCATTACAAGATCTAAAGCTGACAGGCCTTCTTTATCTTGAATATACAGATTAACACCATGCTAAAAGGAGGAAAAAATGCATACATATGTGTGTATATTTTACCCATTTACCTATAATCAGTAATTTCCTACTCTTATGTAATCAAGAAAATCAGATGATCAAGCCCATAAATACACTGAAAAAAGAAAAATAAACATTTAGCAACCATTATCTCTCATACTCACATTTTTCTCTCACACTCAGAAGACAACTAAGAGAAATCATATTATCTAATTCTTGGTAGAATGAGGAAGAACCAAAAGATGTGAAGAAATAAAATAAGTAAGAAAAAAGAAAAATAAACATTTAGCAACCATTATCTCTCATACTCACATTTTTCTCTCACACTCAGAAGACAACTAAGAGAAATCGTATTATCTAATTCTTGGTAGAATGAGGAAGAACCAAAAGATGTGAAGAAATAAAATAAGTAATATTTTAAATCAAAATGACAAAATGTGAAAGTTTTCTATCATAAGGCAGGTCTGATTGCCTAGAAGGTCCTAGCTGGGTCCATGTCTATGTGAGTGTGCACATGTGTGCACACACACACTTTATATTTAAAGAGACATACTCCATGTCTTTACAGGTAACGGCTATAAAGATTTCAAGGCAATGGCAGCACAATACTTATTTTAGGATTTACTCTTTACAATGTGATCATCTGTTCTGTCTCTTTTTGCCTTCAATCCTATTATATTTATTATTAATATTAAGATAATCATATTCTTTTATTTCTATTTGTGATATATATTTTCTTGTCATTCTACTTAAATTTCTATAGCATTGTTTAATTATGGTCTCTTGTACACATATAATTAAACTGCATCTAAAAAAACTGAGAGTGTGTGTGTATGTGTGCTTTAAGTAGGAATTTAAAGTAATCTGTAATTTTTTATATTCACAATTAAAGTTCAAATATAAAGTAGAATATTCTTAAGGCATTTAGCACACTCCATCCATACCAGCACACTTTTCTGTCTTTTTAAGCCTAATGGGGTTGGGGGTGGGAAGGAGAAAGAGAATAATGTTCAATTCAGATCATTGTTATTTCACTAGTTTTTTAAATGTAAAATGTATTCCTTTTCAAGAATAACTTTTTCTTTTTTTTAAATGATGACCAGTGACCGGTAAGGGTATCTTAACGCTTGACTTGGTGTTGTCAGCACCACACTCACCCAGTGAGCTAACCAGCCATCCCTATATAGGGATCTAAACCTGTGGCCTTGGTATTATCAGCACCACACTCTCCCGAGTGAACCTCAGGCCCGCCCTTCAAGAATAACTTTTAGTGTTCGCTGACAGGTTAACTAAGACTTATCTATTTTAAGTGGTATGAGTCATCACTGCCTGTCAATACACATAATTTTCACCTGGGTAATTATAGGCTGAAATGAACCATAAAGTTTTGAAACTAATGGTGACATAATGGAATACTCTGTTTGGGTTACATAAGAAAGACAAATCTCCTCTTACCTAATAATAATGGTTTCCTAATAAACAAAACCAATTCTAACTTCATTATGTTCCAGATGGTTACAATACCTGATTTCACGAGGGCTGTTAATTAACAAAAAACAGTCAAGTTAGTAAGCTAACAAGTAAAACAAAAACCAGAAGTGATCATCTAAGATTTTAATAAATTTAAAATTGTACATTACCCACTACTTTCAAAACAGATATAATAAATTCATATGAAAGGACCTGAGCTTGACCTTTAATATGAGTAAGTAGGGTAGGTTGTAGCACAGTGTGTTCTAAACTATGAATTTAATAAATGAAAACCTAGAAACTTAGATCCCTGGAGAGTTTATTTTGCTAGTCTTATAATTTGCCCTGAATTTTTTCTATACCAGCTGAACTCTATTAAGACTACATACATACATTTGCATCATCCTAAGCAGCCCCAACTGCATAAAGGACTAGGGACTTTTTTGAGCCTTTAGAATGGACTCTGACACTTTCTGGTATGTTCATCTTAAACTCTAAAGGTAGTAGGACCAGTGTGTAGTCTACCCCACTTATTTACATTATCAACTCTTTATACATCCCCAAAATAGTAGGTAAATTCGTTAGCTTACCAAATAGTATCTAAGTACACACCAGGCTTTTTAAGCCTGAGCATTTCATGCCATTGCTCTACAAAGAACAGACAGACTTTACACACAGCTATTCCACTACAAAACACTGGTAACACTGTTGGAGATGTCTGTCAGGAAATAAAATTGTTTTTGTTTGTCTTCCCCAAAATGCAGAGCATAAGACAAAGACTTATATGCAAGTAATTTCCTTGGGAAGAGATCCTAGAAAGCAGTACTGAGGAACCAGGAGAGTGAAACAAAGAAGGAGGAAAAACCAATACAAGGATGTATATCACGTAGATCACTAAGGAGACTTCTGCATTATCTTGCCGGGAGATTCTGGAAACCTTATACAATATATCACAGAATCACTAACTGTCCAATCAAGGGATAAAAGGCAGAAGTATTTACCACTGGCTCCTGTGCTTCATTAGCCAAGAGTTGCCCTTCAGGGGAACTCCGTAGTACCTCTCTAGTACTTTTGGTAGGTCATGCATGAATGCCAAGCTCTGGGGCATAAAGTAAGATGCACATACAAGAGTATTTCAAAAAGTTCATGGAAAGATTCATATTATCATTTAATTCTATTTTTCCAAGAACTTTCAGAAGTACCCTTGGGACATGCCCAAAACAAGTCGCAGATTACAACTACACAAAGCTGCTGGAAGCCTATGCACAATTGGTCACTTCAGCTGTGGCTGGAAAAAGACAAGGCCAAGACATGAAGTGGTTCAGCAGAGTATCTGATGCATGGATCTTTCAAACTGGTTATGAGCTCAGTTGAATGAGTTTAATGCAGCTCTCTGGCTACTGCTACTCATTTACTGCCAAGAAAGTCAGGATCAAAAGAAATATCTTGAGACTACATAATTTCCAGTGGGGTATAATAGGAATGTATTCAACTCTCCTTTCAACCCTATTCTTTAATGCTTTGATGGCTCTTTTTGATAAACTGGCTAGATTCCCTCCTGCTAGTGAAAACAGGAAAAATCAGCATTCTCTGATATTCAAACGACATGGTTTTAACATCAAAAACTAGGAATCATTTTAACAGACAACTTATTCTGCCATCTAATTATCCCGGGGAGGGGGGAGAGACAAAATTCCAAATATGTTATTCTATTTAGTTTATAGCTGTTCTATTTTAGTTTGAGGAATTTTGTCTTATCATTTGACAGTTAATTGGGTTGTTCTGGTTCATGACCTGGTTCTCTATTCTGTGAGCTATCTGATATTCCTCTAATATCCTTTGCTTATGTTACTATAATTAGCTCCTGTTGCATGCAAAAAGAACTCTAATACACCAACATTTATTAAGCATCTTCCTATTTGTTCATTTCACTATTTGGTTTTGGTCTATGTCCCCCTACTAGAATAAAAACTCAAACAAAAAAGGGGCTGTCTTTTTCACTGCAATATCCCTAGCACCTAGATTACTGCTTAGTATATCAGGCACTCAAAAAATATTTGTTCCAAATACTTCATAGATAGCATATCATCTAATCCATATGAACTTATGATTCTGTTAGGTCTTCCATTTACAAATGGGAAAAATTAAAGTAAGCTCTTCCAGAACAGTAAATAAACCATCAGTATGTAAAAAAAACAATGGTATTGACACACAGATAAAACAGAACCCAAACCATGCATCCTGTCATAGAATCAAGAAGTCAAAGAAAATCTGCATAAGATATGCTGTCTCTACTCCAGCTTTTTGCAAGCAACAAGCTTCTGCTAAAGTTTCACATATTTGGTAAACAAGTACTAATAGTATGAGTGTATATTTATTGCATGAATTATTTTGGCACTTAATTTAAAAATGCTTAATAGCTATAAAGTTTTATCAAATGCAAATTCACTTAAAATGTGTGTATATGGTTTCTTCCTGCCAATCCATAGCATCAGAAATGGAACTGACATGAAGACCCCTATCACTGCACCCCTTTCAATTAAAGAAGTGCTGGAAGGCCAAGACAACCTACAGAATGGGAGAAAATATTTGCAAACTACACACCTGAAAAGGGATTAATATCCAGAATATACAAGGAACTCAAACAACTAACAGTAAAAAACCAAGTAACCCATTAAAAAATGGACAAAGGAGCTGAATACACATTTCTCAAAGGAACATATAAAAATGGCCAACAGACACCTGAAAAAATGCTCAACATCATTCAGCATCAGGGAAATGCAAATCAAAACCACTTTGAGATATCATCTTATCCCAATTAGACAGGCTATTATCAAAAAGACAGAATAACAAATTCTGGCAAAGATGCAGAGAAAGGGGAACCCTCCTACACTGTTGGTAGGACTGTAAATCAGTGCAGCCATTATGGAAAACAGTATGGAGGCTCCTCAAACAACTACAGTTAGAACTGCCATATGTTCCAGCAATTCCATTGCTGGGTAGATATCCAAAGGAAGGGTAATCACTACGTGGAAGGTATACCTGCACTCCCATGTTTTTCACAGCTCTATTTACAATAGCCAAGAGTTGGAACCAACCTAAATGTCCACTGATGAATGACTGGATAAGGAAAACGTGGTATATATACACAATGGAATACTAATCTGCCATAAAAAGGAATGAAATACTGCCATTCACAGCAACATGGATAAACTGAGAGAAAATTATGTTAAGTGAAATACTCCAGGCACAGAAAAGAGAAATACCACATGTCCTCACACATAAGTGGGAGCTAAAAAAAAAATAAATAAATTTTTAAAAAGAATGAAAAAAAGATACAACAATCACAATAATTCACTGAACTTTCAAAAAGACAGAATAGAAATGAGGCTACTACTGGTGGGAAAGGGGGAGGGGGACTTAGCTAGAAATTGGTAAAGGGCTACACAAAATGATTACACATTGTATAATGTTGATTATACTAATTATCCTGATTTGAGCATCACTTACTGCAGTTACTGATACACAATGCAGTAGCCCACAGATATGTACAATCAATTATGTTCAATTAAAAAAAAAAGAAGGATGTACTAAATAAATGCAGATAGCTTACACCATGAGAATACTGGTCAATGGAAGTTTTTGTGGGAAAGTTTTGTCAGTGGAATTCACTCACTGTTAAATATCTAGCACTGATCAGTAGCCCCTGATGATAATAAAAGACAGTCAAGCCACAGGCAAGGTAGCCAAGGCACAATTTCTTGCCTTCTCTTAGTCAAGGTGGTGAGGTGGATTGAGGCTCTCTAAAGGGAAATGAAACCTGAAAGGAAGGGAAGGACCAAAATTCAGGCCAGACCATAACTATTTCAAACCGAAACCCCAAATCATAACACCTGAATGGCAACCCCTAGGATACCAGAAAACCCAAGGACCCTCTCAAACATGACAGAATTGGCAGTCATCCAATTTTCCAGCAGAAACTGGAAAAAAAAGCCGAAGTTTTACAGGTGGGAAAGGGTAACAGTGGAGATGATAGATGCTTTAACTCTTACTAACCTAGCTTTCTCTATAAAAGAGATTATAATAAAGGAATTAAACAGATACCCAAAGGTTTTACCTATAAGAAGAATTAACTGTACTACTAATAAACTTAAAAACTTTTTCTTCACTGACACTCCCTGGGGAAAAAATTATTAAGGTACTATTATTATCCTCTTTTTACAGATAAAAATGAGGTTCAAGATTCAGTAACTTGTGTAAGATGACTCAGTAAGTAGCACACCTACAGAGTTTGGCTCTAAAGAAGGATATTTCACTATCAATATATATTGAAAATTATTTTGATCGGTAAATGTTACTGTGTAAAAGCCACTATTTAAGTAATTTTTTAAGTCAAAAAGACAATGAAGACAATGAAGATAAGGTTGCTAATTTGACCCTAAGTTCCTTAAGGACAGGAGCTGTTTTGCTCTTTGCTGGGTCCTCTACAAACATGACAAAATACGTATACAAAAGAAAAATGTTAAATTTAAAACTCATGACTTCTGATAGTGAGTTTTTAATTTGTATTCATTAGTGAAATGACATTGGAGTGTATCTCAAAACATTTCATTATTTGGCTATTCAGTGCAACAAACCTAATCTACTGGATAAGAAATTTCATATAAAGTAAGCTGATTTTACTTATCAATTTCTTTAGAACTGTAAACACTTTATCCTAACTAAATAAGAAATGAACACACTACTCAAAAAGACAATCCCTAAGAGATGTCCAACAACTAGTACCCTTTTAAAGTAGTTAAGAATATAATTATTTAAGAGTAAATCATATTTTTAGGGTCTGGCCCATGGCTCACTTGGGAGAATATGGTGCTGGTAACACTAAGGCCATGGGTTCAGATCCCTATATAGGGATGGCCAGTTAGCTCGCTTGGGAGAGCGTGGTGCTGACATCACCAAGTCAAGGGTTAAGATCCCCTTACCGGTCATCTTTAAAAATAAAAAAAGAGTAAACCATATTTTTTAAAAAATACTAAAAGATACCATTAAAAAAATTTAATTGGGATGCCATTAGACTGGGGCAGCTCTAACACTTTAAATTCCCACGTCAGCAAACAGAAGCCCAATGTAAACAGTAAAATGAAACTAGAACTTTACCAACCAAAAACTGCCAACTAACCTCTAACTAGGGTCTTTCCACTCTAATCAATCAAATATATTTTGTCTTACTTCTGCATCAGCCTATTAAAGCTCACTGTCCATGTTGCTGCAGTGGAGCTCTCTGAACCGCTTCTGGTTCTGAGTGCTGCCCGATTCATGTATTGTTCTTTGCTAAAATAAGCTGTTAAATTTATTTTGTCTAAAGTTTTTCTTTGAACAATACATAGTACTGATTAAATGATAAAATGTCTCAGATTTACTTCAAAATAATTTGGGATGTATAACACAAAATTGTCTAATAGTTCATTATATATTGTACTTTTATATATGTTTAAAATTTTACATTATAAAAAGTATAAATAGAAAGGACATATAAAATTTTAATTCCAAAGGTGAGTTATAATAGTAAGAAATATCAAACAAGTGATAAGAACAAATGCAAATCTTTTTGAAACATAAGAGGGGTATATGAAAAAAACTAAGAAAAACATATGCCTGGCTAAATAACAGTTTTAAATAAATGACACTTACCTTCAATAGAGACCAAACACAATCAATATGTCCATAAAAAATGCTTCTGTGCAATGCTGTCCATCCTGACTCCTTGTCTTTCACCAAGAGATCCACACCTTTCTCAATAAGCCAATCTAATACTCCTTTCTTTCCACAGGAGGAAACAAGGTGGAGGACATTCCTGCCAAAGGCATCCTTGATAGTTGCAGCATTGTAACAATGGCTGGAGAGAAAGGCCTTAATCTGGTTTTCACTTCCCTTTGTTACCACAGAAAGGACATCCAAAGCATGCTTCAGGGATCGACACTTTGATGTGCAGTCAGGAACGGAAGAATTCATCCTAATTGTTTTTATACTGCTCACTTCTGCAGAATAGTCAGTTAATACCAATTTTAAAAAATGAAAAAGCTAGGACACAAAGGTGCTATTCAGGAAGAATTACTGAGAATGAATGACCTTTTTAGGATTATAATTTAAATCCTCATGGCAATAGTATAAAACTATATATCTTAGTACAATTGTTTTTGGCACTTAAATAGCTCTATAAAGTTCATATCAAATACAAGTTCTTCTTTAAAAAAAAAAATGCCACAGTTTATAAATTATTCCTGGAGTCAAGCACCAAGGGGGAGTGAGGAGGGGAACTCCCCCTCCACACGGTCTGATCCTTTCAAATATCCATAATTGCAAGGGTGACCTATAAAAAAAAAAGAAAGGAAGAGAAAGTAAAAATATAAAATCTCTCTCTCCTCAAGTACTTTATAATACAATTACTTCCATATCTATGGTATCTATATTTACATCAGTCATTCTTACTTCATTTTCCTACTCTCATGTTTAAGGTTAACTTCTGTGTCTGTACTCTGCAATTGACCTTCCTGTCAGAACCTTCATTCCTTCTCTGCTGTATTGTTACACTCTGCTAGCTATAACCCCACAAGCTCTAAACACATTTTAATCTACCATATAAGAATCCAATCGCAAACCTTTACCACCCTAAAACTACATCATCATCATCACCTCTAACACAATAATAACCAACACTTCCATCAGTTATTCAGCTTTTAGTAAGTGCCAGGCACTGTGCTAATAACATTGTTCTCTCTGCCTGGAAGGTCCTTCAATGCAGGAGGAGATAAAGCAGAGGGGATTAAAACAACTGGTTAGCTATCTGGAAAAAAAATAACTTACTTTATACATTATAACAATATAAATTTCTAGGATTGCTCAAAAGCAAACAAAAAAAGGAAGCCATGAAAGCACTAGATGAAAATATAGACGATCCTTTTATAATCGCAAAGTACAAAAGGCCTTTCTAAGTATGATCTGAAATTTAAAAACCATAAAATAACACACTAATAAATTCAATACAGGTTAAAAACTACAAAAAAAATTTTAAAGACAAAAAAGGAGAAAACTGTTCCTTAATATATAGTCTCTATAAATCTTCCTTAATATATAGTTTTTGAGAGCAGAGATACACACTTATAAGAAGACTATTTAGAAAGCCATACATGAGTTTACTGTATGCATAGGGGAAACTTCTGTGCATCAGGCATACATATGAAACTACACATTTGTATTTTTCCACTCCCACTTGATACCACGCTGAGTCAGCATTTGAGATCTAACTAGTTTTCTGTTCTTAGATACACATGCTCCCCAACTTAAATTTCCAACTTTACCATGCTGCAAAAGCAGTACATATTCAGTACACTCCCCAAATAGGCTATGTCTAGATAAATCCATTGTAAGTTGAAAATATGGTTAAATGGAAAATGCACTTTCAATTTAACCATATTTTCAATTTAGGATGGATTTATAGGGATGTTAAGGATCACCTATAATCTGATTTCCCCATCTGGAAATGAGAGCTTTGAACTAGATGATTCCTTAATCCCGTCTAGCTCCAGGTCAGTTTCTACTAATCTACAAGTTTTGTAATTTGAGATAGCTCTTATAAAAATCACCCACCCTTTAAATGTTGATTAAACCAAAAACAAAAAGACAAACAAACAAAAAAGTGTTTGGTAGTTAGCTGACACAAAGAAAAGGGTACCAAAACTGCAAGCAGTTTAAAATGTTAAACCTCAAAAATACAACATATGGCAAAATAGTCACATGTAGTTAATGTCATTCTTTTGAGACTATAAAATTTTATCACCTTTGTATTTCTAGTGTATTTATAATACCTGAAAGGAACTACTTATTGACGAATCATTCAAACCCTACATGAAAGAATTAAGATACAAAACAAGATTGCCTGATTTACTACTCCATGTAATTTAAACATTTATGGGGGAATAAAGAATATTAAATATAAAAAGCATAACATACTATCATATATAGAGAGAAGCACATATAGAATACTATGAATATAAATATGGAATTAAGGGCTTGGGTTTCTTAGAGTTTTACATATTTGAATTCAAATATAGCAATGCTAGCTGTTACATTATGTAACTCTAAAAATTACATAATCGCTCCAAGTCCTCATTTCTTCATCTGAAAATAGAGATAATGCCACCAACCTCACAGGATTACTGTAATGATAAATCAAACTGCCAAGCATGGTGCCTGGCACTAAATATACACTAAATAAATACTAGCTTTTGTTACTATTATTTCTCCAGTAACAAAAAGATAATACAATTTTAATCCCAAAATTCACATTTGGGCTTTAATGTACTTCTCCAACAAAACCATATTCACTAAAGTTACCAGTGACCTCTAAATTGCCAAATACTTTTGGATATTTTCAGTTCTTATGTTACTTGCCTCCCCTGCTTTTATGTCTTTAACACCTTATTCTATGAAGAAGTTTAGAAAGCGATCGTGAAAGGTTAGGAAGTCACTGAAGCATTTTAGCATGGGATGTCTCTCCCACCACTTCTTCCTAGGGCACTATCCCTGCCCCTGACCTTCAAATGCTGGATTTCTCTCAATGTTCTATCCTCAGTCCTCTTCTTATCTCTACTCCATATTCTCCCTGGATAACTTTAACCCGTTTCATGTTTTTAACTCTCCCCTACATGCTTATAATTCCCAAATCTGTCTCTTACCCATACCTCTCCTAAATTCCATGCCCATATTTCCAATGCCTAATATAAATCTTACTTGTGTATTCAAAAAATGCTTATTGAAGGGGAAGAAAGAAAAGGAAATAAATATTTACTAAGCACCTAATACATATTATATATATTACATGACAGGTTAAGTAAACCACCCAAACCATACCACCAGTAAAAGAGGGAGTTAGAATTCAAACACAGATCTATTCAATAATAAAGTTCATGCTTTTTTTCCTCACTACACTGCTTTCTCCAGTGCATCCACAGTGGGTCACAAGGCACTGGGAATACAAAGTAGAACCTAAATATTTTAGATAAAACGATAAAATACAGGTTCATGGATAATACTTAGGTGAATGCATAGCTAGTTTAACAACTGTATTAACTGGACAAAATTTATTATTTATTACATTGTCCCTATTAAAGGGTCACAGTTTGGTAGAGGAAACTGATTTTATTTAAGCGAGTAATAAAAATATATCATGATTATAAACCTATGGTCAAGATAAAACAAGTGATATATGGGAATGGGGAGTGGAGAAGAGATGTATGGGAAAGAATTCCCACACAGATGTAAAAACTAAGACTTATGAGTACATGTTTGCCTAATAAATTCAGGGTGGAAAAGCATTTGAAGCAGAAGGAATAGTAAATATAAAAGCACTGGAATCATCTTGATCCTTTCTGAATATTCCAAATAATTCAGAAGACAGAAAGAAGTGAGGCCTAATATATACACAAGGATGGACCAGATCTGGGGCAGCCTTACATGCCTTTCCTTGGGGATAAAGAAAGTGGGCAAGACAAAGACATATTTAGGATCTTGAATTGACAAGATATTGATTACTCTCACATTTCTCCCTTGGATGACAGGGCAGCTAGGAAGAAGAGTAAGGGGTAAATATTTCAGAAATCAGAAAACAAAACAAACTTAAACAAAGGAACAAACAAAAGTTATAGATGAAAATTTCTGTTTTATACATGACGAACATGAAGTGTTTTGTTTGTTTGTTTTTGTTTTTTTCTTAAAGATGACCAGTAAGGGGATCTTAACCCTTAACTTGGTGTTGTCAGCACCACACTCTCCCAAGTGAGCCAAGGGCTGGCCCTATGAACATGAAGTGTTAATGGAAAGATGAATTGGAGGAGTTTAGCTAGCTATAGGCAATTATTCAACCCTGAAAACTGGTCCACCATAAAAGTTTTAGCCAGTAGCAATTGAGCCCTGAACAATGGCTCACAATCTTTCTACTAATTCTTGGTTAACAGCTCAGATATCTTCCTAAAACACAAATCTGATCATGCCATTTTCTAACATACCAAAGACCAAAATGAACCAATACCTATGTCTCACATGTTAAGAATAGCTTTGTGACCTCAGGAAGAGGATTCTGGTTAGGCATGGAGATCACGCAGCATATGAGGGTACTTCAAAAAGTTCATGGAAAGATTTCATATCTTTTAATTCTATTTTTCCGTGAACTTTTTGAAATACCTTTGTATAAAGTTCAGACTCTGAATTTAGAACACCTATGCTAGTAATCCAAACATACCACTAATTAGCTAAGTGGCCCTGGGCACCTCATTTAATTTCTCTAAGTTTCAATTCTCTCATTTGTAAAAAGAGGATAACAACTATTTATCTTCTGAGTTGTTCTAAAAATTAAATGAAACTTTTCATATGTAAGCACGCAACAAAAATTAAGATAAGAGGAGAAAAGGGACATATCGGTAAATAGGTCAGAAAATGCCATAACTGTATTAGAGTCCTTTCTGTTTGGAATGCTCTTCATTCAAATCTTCACAAGGCTGCCACTTCCCCGTGGCTTACAAACATTAACACCTATCATCTTTAGAAGTTCATATGAATACACATAGTGCTTTATGTAAATTAACTAATTTAATCCTCATTTCAACCTCAATATTGACCCTGTACATTTGATTACCTTCATTTCATGATGAGGAAATTGATGTGAAAGTTTAAGTAGCCTAGCCAAAATCACACCGATAGAAAAGAACACTCTAGACTCTACCTATTCTACTCTATCAAACTGGTTTCTCAAAATGCAGTTAGGAAATCTTCAACAAGAAGTAGTATGGAGTAGTAGAAAAATTACTCTTATTTGTAGTCATAAGAATTGGGTTCCTGTTATCAAAAACCTTGGGCAGGTGACTTAAGCTCCCTAATCCTCAATTTCTTCATGTATGAAATAAGGACAATAACAACCTGCCTTGTAACTGTACACCCTGCCTACACATAAAGATTTTAAGCTCCATAGGGAGGGAACAGGAGAGAATGCCATACTTCTTCATATTTCTCACAAAATATAATATGTATTCAATAAGTAGGTCTAGTTCTTAAAGTGCTCTTTAAAACCAAACTTTCTTCCTTATGAACTTGTACCTATATTAAATTAAAATAACTGTTATATGCTACAAATTATAGTGACTCACAATCTAATAATTTTAAGAGTTATTCCTGTAAGCCCTAAAAACATTTCATACAACTTTAAAACACAAGCACTTACTACTTTAGGAAAGTAATAATTTAATTTTATCAACATTATATTCTAACGTTTTAAATATTCTCTAGGTACAAGATATAGAAACTTCAGTCCAATACTTTATCAATGCAATATCCAGTTTTACAGCAGAGAAACTGCCGGAATTTTAGGGAGCAGGTACATTTTTAGATGTGGCAAAGAATTATTGCCTATTTATGACGGAAATACAAATTATTTTTGTATTTATTTATAATAATTATTAATTTTTAACCATAAATAATTTATAATAATTTTAAATAACCATAAGTTATTTATAATAATTAACCAATTAATACTGAGCTTCTTTATTTAATAGGTACATTCATTTATGGTCTATTTAATTTTATGGTCCAGAAGCATTATGAGGGTTAAAAATGTAGTAAGTTGCTTACATACACATTTAGCATACTGAAAGTTAATTTTTTTAAAAATAGTGGAACACAGCCATTTTTGAACCTGACAGCTCTGCCTGATACAAGAACAAAAGGTCTCTATCCTTCCTGTGTCCACAAGCCAAAGAACAGGTCCCTTTTTACATAGTAGTCAGTCCCCATAGAACTTCAGAGATCACGACCTGCTTCCCCGACAGAATCAGCATCCCTAGAGTGGACTCAAACTTTGTGACTCCAAGAAGGGGATAAAAGAAGGGGCACCTCCAAGAATGGCTTCAAATCCAGGACTCAAAGGGAAGTGACGCCAGTCAACTATCAGAACTAGGAATGCAACATCTTTGGAGGGTGTGTCCCGCAGGACTGCAACGTAGCACGTCACCTGCACAGGCCATTCATTAGCTGAGGGGGGCGGTAAAGAGGTGGCTGCAGGGACCCGGGCCAACAGGCCGGCCCCGCGCCACCTCGCGCAAAGCCCGGCGCCGCGGAGTCCTCCTCCCGGTGGTCCACCCGCGCCACCGCCGTGCGTAGTCACCAGCACCGGGGGGAAGGCTAATACTCCCATCGCCCCAGGGCTGAAGGGACCGCGTCCGCCTCAGCCCGCTCCGCACGGTCCGGCTGCGCCGAGCACTCCCTCACCAGTCGCTAGATGAAACTGAGCCGGTGGTCTCCGCGAGGTGGGCACAGAGCCGCGCAGTGACTCATCGTCAGTGAAGACAACAGGAGAAACCGAACGGCGCCAGCGGGGGCCCTGTCCCCAGACCTGGGTCAGCTCCGGGGGCGGCTGCAGCTACAGCCGCGACTACAGGCACAGGGAAGGGGTTAGGGAGAAAGGGCCGAGCGGGTGGAACCCAGGAATAAGACGGGCGTTGATTGGCTGGGGCTCATGTATGCCTCATGATGATTGGCTGGTGCCTGCCCAGAAGGCCTCTCGTGACAGCACCTCAGCTGTGGCCTATCCCTGGCGCCCCGAAGGAACTTGACCCTGACGGCCTTGGGACCGCTGGCGCTGGCCAGGGGCGGGGAAATGCTGCAGCGGGACTCTAGGTCGACAGCGGTGATGGAAGCGGCCCTTTCGGGGCCAGCCGTCTCCCAGATAGAAACGTCTCTCTCCCGACAGCTGGAGACTCAGAAGGGAGGATGACTCTAGGGTGGAGAGACACGGAGACCTGGTCGGATACTTTGGGCACCCGATCAGCACTTAGCCGAAGCCAAGTTAATAGGCGTCCCGCACAGAAAATTTCTTCCCGTTGCCCTAGCAGTGGGGTCACTGGAAAGCCAAAGGCGGCGTCTCTCGGAGACGCAGCCTCGCCCTTCTCTGGCTCACTTTTACACCCGGATTATTTGGAGTCAGTCCCTCAGTCAGAAGGCGTCACTGCTTTCTTAGATAGCCACCTTGGGACCAGCTGCTGACCGAGTCACACCGCTTGGCGCCTGCTGGGCTTGCACTAGACTTTTCCTTTAACTCTGAATCTGAGGGCCATTTTTAAAGTGTTTGAGTGAAAAATATTAGGGCGGAAAGAAAGTAGCTGATAATCAATACCGAATGGGAAACACACTGCTGCTGAATGTGTGATACAGTAGGCATTCAGGAAATGTTTGTTCAGGGGTGGGTAGTGTGACTCAGAACAACAGGAGGAGTCAGAAGTTGGCCGGACAGCTCTGCCACGTTGTGAATTGTACGAGCCACTTAGTCTCTCTCATCTACAAAACGAAGGAGTTGGACTAGATGTTTTGTTAGGTCCCATTCAGCTTTACTCTTTTTTTTTGTTTGTTTGTTTTTGTAGCCTTCTTTGTGGGAGGGTAAATTACTAGCCCTCAGCCACTTAGCTGGTTAGGAAGAAAGGGAAACTAACTAGGCCCAAGCTCTCCTGCTGCCTTCCCCAATACAATGTTCTATTTCTTTGCTCCGTATTCTAAGTCCCCTACTTCTTTCTTTAACATATAACAAAAACTGGTTTGTAATGTAAAAACTGAGTGAATTTGAAAATAAGCTACATATAATGACTAATATGTATGAAAAAACAAATCAATCATGGCAAATAAAGCTAATAATAGGAATAAATGCACTGACCTGAGTTCACATCATTTATATATCTCTTCTATCTGGGCAAGTTAATTAGCTTTTCTGAAGCCTCAGTTTCCTCATCTGCAATACGGTGCAGTTATGCATTTTGGGGTTGGGAAAATATAATGATTAGATAGAGATATATAGCACTTGGTACAGTAGCTAGCACACAGTAACACTTCATAATAGTTCTACTTTTTATAAATATAGTATGTCTTTCCTTAGCAGCTGAATTGTTCAAGCAGTCTTCATTTAGAAATTACTAGGTCTCATTGCACTTGTGGTAAGCACTTGGGATCTAGTAGTGAACAAAAATACAGATAGGCCCAGATAATCCCAATCATAAAAATAAATTGCAACTTTTACACATATTAAAAAGAACACTATGATAGATTTAATCTAATTTTTCAAAGAAATGATACTTGAACTAAGATCTGGAGAATAATTAGGAAGTAACTAGATAAAGCAGGAAAGAACACATGTTAACAGGTCAAGGAATATGGAATTACTCCCCTTTTCCCCTGGAAAGTTAGGTGCCTTCAAAAGTACTGGTTATTTGCAGGACCCAATATAGAAATAATTAGGAAATAGTACAAATGAAATATGGTTAAATTTTAAAAATTCATTTTAGATGCAGTTAGAGGAGGAAGAACTCAAAATTAGCCATTTTGTTTGGTTTTTTAAAAAATTTTGTGTTTACACCTAAAAGAATAGATAAAAATATACAAATAATAATGATTATTTCTGTGTAATAGGATTATGGGTAATTATTAATTTCTATCATTTTGAATTTCATAATTTTATTGCAATAATTAAATGTTACTTGAGTGATTAAAAAATCAAAGTTTGGAAAAATAATTTACTAGAATTTCTAAAGGAGAATTGAAGAAATAAAACTAGAGATGGCTGAAGAAGGTTGCAGTGATTTAGAGGGGGAGAGTAGTAGAAGAATAGTACAGGCATCAGGAATGGAGTACTGTAGAAATGTATTTAAGCCACACAGCATCTATAATAAATTCCCTAAGTGCCATTTTTTCCAAAATAAATTAGTAATTCATTATTAAAAATGCTAACTCATCATTATGTGAATTTTGCTGTCTTTCAAGTTGTATTGGGGTAAGGAATGACAGTGCTGCCCTTACTTCAGCTGGTGGCAGAAGAGAGAATATTAGAACTTGTATAGAAACTTGGGTATAACCCTAAACCTAATTAAGTTCTACAAGAATGGTTGTTATTACAGGAAGTTCAGCAGTATAGCTTGCCTAGAGATGACTGGAACTTTATTGTTTGGCCTTATTCTCTTCCACTCCACATCATCCTCTGCACAAGAACACAAGATTGGCTACAGTCTTCTGGCACACACCTAGGCTTTGCCATTAGGGAAGGTTGCATTGAACCCTCTGCCTCAAGCACAAAAATTCCAGAGGCCTGATGGACTCATACTGGCTGGTGTTAGGTGAGGAGTCAAGGATATCTAAACACTATAGGGTGTTTCTGTATTCTTGGATCCCAGGAGACATCATCCCAGCTGCATTCTTCGTAGAGTGATTATCCTTCAAGTATTCATAAGGAGCCACCTCCTCACAAATCTGTGAGGCCTTCTCTGATGGCCTTTCCTAACAGTTATTCCCTCTATATTCTTTCTATCACTTATTCATATTATGTGACACACTGTTTTGTTTTTATGTTTATTACCTTTATATATGTGGAGGCAGTAAAAGCTAGAGTTCTGGAGGCAAGATACCCAGATAAAAAATTTAATTCTTACTAGCTGTGAGACCTCAAGCAAGTTACATAACCCCTCTAAGCCTAGTTTTCTTACCTCTAAAATGGGGTCAATAGAATTTCCTTCATAAAGTTCTTAAAAGTTTAAATGAGATGATATATGTAAAGCTCTTAGTACAGGTGTTAGCACTTGTTGGGAAAAAATAGGAAAATGGTCAGGGCCCCTCAGATGTTCAGAGTCTCGCCGAGCATTTGCTGTAAATATCCTCAGCTGTTCCTTGTTACTACTTAATATAATTGCGTATGGGTACCCAGGTATCCAGGGTATGGACTTAAGTATAAAAGACTAACAGCTCTGATCCACAGTGCTTCTTAGAACTCTCAGCGAGGTCACTAGGACAGTTGCTCCTAGGTCTGAAGAAACCATTCATTTTTCTATACCCACAGCTCTCAGGACTTTTTTTTTTTTTTCTACTACTAGCTCACAGATCTGCGTGTGGAAGGTTTGTGACCCAGTCTGTGCAACAGACTCGAGGGGTCTGTAAGCCCTAGCTTTACAGCACTTAATCGACACAACCTGAGTTCTTGTGGATGGTTCTGTTTCCCTGTGAGCATGTAAAGGGTGGGATGGGGAGAAACAAGGAATGAACCACAAGGTGGCAGTGTTTGAATATAACTTTAGAACTGTACAAGCTTGAATTCATAGCCCACCAACAAATCTTAGATTCAAGGCAAATTCAAAGCCTGCATGAGACAGGCTAAACTTTGTGAGAAATAAAACTTATGAACTTAGGTTGCTTAGCATCTTATTATAATCAGAATACTAAATTCCCAAAACTCTCCCCTTTACTATGACTAAGAATGTGTACTATTGCTTTCTTGGACCATCTTACTTAAAATTGCTTATATTTCTTCTTTACCTAGATAAATAAGTAAATCTGGCTTTTGAGAGAGAGAGAGAGAGGCAGAAAAAAGAAAGGAAGGAAAGAATAAAAAGCTCCAAGTTCAAGACACCTTTTGTAAGCAATGATAACAGTCATTTAGTCCATCCCTAAAGAACTGAAGGTCCTGGGAATTTAGCCATGTCAATGCAGTCTCTTTTTACATTATTAACTGAAGAAAAATGGGTGTCTTTAAAGATTTCAGAATAGGAAACAAAAAGAAGTCAGAAGGAGCCTTGTCAGGACTGTAAAGGTAGATGCCTAATGATTTCCCATCAAAACTCTCATAGAATTGACCTTGTTTGATGAGAGGAATGAACAGGAACATTGTCGTGGTGAGGGACTCTCTCATGAGGACTTCCTGGTCATTTTTCTGCTAAAACTTTCGCTAACTTTCTGAAAGCACTCTCATAATATGCAGCTGTTATCACTCTTTGGCTCTCAAGAAAATCAACATGCAAAATGCCATGAGTATCTCAAAAAACTGTTGCCATGATGTAGGGCTAGGGCTTACAGACCCCTCGAGCCCATTGTCTAGACTGGGTCACAAACCCTCCACACACAGGCCTATGAGCTAGGTAATGGGAGAAAGTCCTGGGAGCCATGGGTGAAGAATTAATAGGCTTTATTCAGAGCTAGGAGCAGCCGCCCTAATGGCTTCCCAGAGCGTCTTCAAAAGCTTCTCGTATCAGAGCCATTAGTCCTTTATACTCAAGTCCATAACACCAGGTGCACATGCACAATTACAATAACCAGGAACACCCATGCACACGCGCATACCCACCTCGGAGCTACGCAAGATTCTGAACATCTGAGGGGCCCTGACCATTTTTTCTATATTTTCCCAACACATGATCTTTGCTCTTGAGTGGTCCATTTTTGCTTTGGCTGTACTGCTTCCATCTCCTGGTAGCCACAGCCTTGATTGTGCTTTGTCTTCAGGATCTTTGTCTTCATACTG